CCCCGGAGCGGCTCCCGCAGCCCCGGGCATCCCCCGCTGCAGGGCAGGACGATGCCCGCGGGGAAAAGCCCCGGGAAACCTCTCGGCATCCCCCGCTGCGGGGCAGGACGATGCCCCGGGAAACCTCTCGGCATCCCCGCACCGCCTCGGCTCTCGTTTCTGCCCGTGAAAGGCGATCCCGGAATGAGAATCGCGCCCCGGCAGCGCCCCGGGGACACCGGCGGCCCCCAGCCCACCTTGCTCCGTGCGTGGCGGCGGCCCCGCAGCGGGACCGGGGGGAACGGCGGCGCCGGCGGGGGCTCCCCTGGCCCGGGCTCCCGGTGTGCGGCTGAGCTGCGGCTCCTCCGGGGCAGCGGGCGGCAGCGGGTTGGCAGGAGGGCTGCGAGGGAGCTGCACCAGGCATAAGTGCAGGCGCCGAGAAAAGAGCCTTCTGTGTGTGTGTGTGTCCGTGTCCTCACTCTGCTTTTTGCTTTTTTTTTTTTTTTTTCTATTCTCCCTTCCCCTTTCCCTCCTCCTTTTATATTTATTCCTTCCCCTAATTAAAAAGGAAAAAAAAAAGCTACTACCGTGTTGGCAGGCTGCTGGTCCCGCCCCGTCCCTCCCTCCTGGCAGCGGGCAGAGCCCGCACGAGAGGAGATGCTCAGGCCGGGCACAGAGGATGGGGGTGCCCCCAGCCAGCCTGGCACGGGAATGCCCTTGGGGGGCTCATTGCTGGGATTTGGCAGCTCCAGCCGGGCACGGAGGGGGTCCCTGCTGCAGCCAGCGGGGTTTCGTCATGTAAAAGCGCTTTTACCGCGGGGCTGAGGCGGGTGGAGGGGCCCGGGGGGCTTTGGCAGCCCCGAAAGGGCCGATCTGGAGCGCAGCGCTGCCAGACGGGTTCGGGCCGTGCCTCAGTTTACCCGCCCGCAGCCGCCGCGGGGCGGGAGAATGGATGCGGCTTTAGCTGTAATCCTGAAATACTCACACTCACACTCACACTCACAGTCACACACTCACACTCACACTCACACTCACACACTCACACTCACACTCACACTCACACTCACACTGACACTCACACTCACACTCACACTCACACTCACACACTCACACTCGCACTCACACTCACACTCCCACCCCCACTCCCACACTCACTCCTGCTGCACACGCAGGGCTCAGACCCCAGAGCTGCCCCACCTCTGCCCCCCAAAGCCCCACGAGGGAACCTCCTGTGCCCGGCCGGGAAATCCACACACAAAAATCTCCAAAATCTCCGTGGGAACACTCGGCTGGGGGAGCTGTGGAGTGTGGGAACCCAGGGCTTCCCTCTGCTGCCCTGGGACCCTTCAGGGGTCAGAACCCCCCTGGACAGAGCCCCCAGAGACACTGGCTGTGATCTCTGTCCATGGAAAAGAGTTTTCAATCTTACAGGATGAATTACAAGCTTTGAGTGTTTGAGAAGAGTAATAATTAAGTGTGGCACGGGTGCAAAAGTAAAACTTTAGGATTCTAGATTAGGGGTCCAAAGGGGACAAGATGGAGGAAATTGGGTGTGTCTTGCCCTTTTCCTCCTTCTTCATGCCCTCCATGTTTCACTGTATGTTGGCATTTTTCTGTTGGTTCAGGCTGGGGACACACTGTCCAACGTAGGTGACAGATATTGGCACATTATTGTAAATCCAGCACAGGTAGTTTCTGGTATTTAATGTTTGTACCATCCCACTGAGGGCAGAGCCCCACACGCTGCCCTGCAGGACAGAGCTGCGGCAGGGCAGCAGAACATGTTAGAGATAAACAGAATAAACAACCTTGAAACCAGCACAGACCAATTATGGCTTCTGCTTTGGCAGTGGGGCTGAAGGACAGAGACTTTCTACAATCTCAGAATCACCAATACCCACAGATTCCGACAGAGAAGTGAGGCAGGAGCCGGGCACAGCCCCTTTAGACACCCCAGAGGATTCCCCATCCCTTCCTGCAGCTCCAGAGATTCTGGGGTTCCCCATCAGCCCCTCCCCAGCCCCACTGTGACCAGGCTGGCAGGGCCTCAGTGCCCAGCTCTGCTTCCTCCTCCTCCTCCCCCTCCTCCTCCAGCCCTGCTCCAAGTCACGTACCGGCCCGTGCCATGCACCCTGTGCCACCCCCGTGCCAGCTGCCACCCTGGGGCTGCGGGGCACCCTCAAATGTCCCCCCCACAAAGCTCTGCCGCTGCTGGATTGCTCCCTGAGCGCCCCAGAGATATCAGTTCCAGGGGGTCCTGACCCTGAGAGCCTCTCAGGGACACAAATATTTCATTCCCAAGGAGGTCTGACCCCCAGAACTCCCCAGGGGTGCAGACATCTCAGTCCCAGCGGGTTCTGAGCCCAGGGGTTCCCCAGAGGTCCAGACATCCCCATCCTGGGGCATCCTGAGTTCAAACATCCCCCAGGGACACAGACATTCCTGTCCTGGGGCATCCTGATCCCCAGCATCCCCCAGGGACCCCAACATCTCTATCCTGGGACATCCTGAACTCAAACATCCCCCAGGGACACAGACATTCCTGTCCTGGGGTATTCTGACTCAAACATCCCCCAGGGACCCCAACATCCCCATCCTGGGGCATCCTGAGCTCAAATATCCCCCAAGGACCTGGACACGAAAATCCTGGGGACATCCTGAGCTCAAACATCCCTTGGAACACAAAGTTGGATTGGATTGGATTGGATTGGATTGGATTGGATTGGATTGGACTCGATTTAATTTGATTTGATTGGATTTGATTTGATTCAATTGACCATGAGGCTCAAACAATCCTCACCAGAATCCAACCAAGCAATCACCCCAGGTAAACAATTCTCCAAACACATTCCACATGGAAAAACAAGGAGCAGAAATAGAAAATTGTTTTCTCTTTCATTTCTCTCTGTGCACCTCTATAAAAAATCCTGAGAAGGAGAGAAACGTGCTGCCACAGAGAGGGCCTCTCCTGCTTGACTGTGTGATGCTTTTATCCCCAATCATCTGCTCTGTTTATGCTGAATAATAAATTTTGCACCTTTCAGACTCGTTCCAGCAGTGAAGACGGGGGAAGAAGCGCAGAGTTTGTTTTCAGAGCTGCACTCCCTCCTCCACATTCCTGCTCCAGGACTGGTGTTTGTGGATGGACAGACAGCGGGACAGAGCTCTCCTTTGCTTTTCTAGTTAATTTTAGCTAGCTGAGGCAAATAATGTGTTTTTTTCCCCCTTTTTTTGGACCTGCTCGGGACTGAGCACCCAGAAGAGCACCCAGCTCCCACCTGGGCCGTGTCATTTCCAGCACCAGAGGGACTGATCAGAGCCTGAGTGAGCCCAGCTGCTGCCCAGGGTGGGGATTTTTCTGAGTTTGTCTTCTTTTGGAGCAGCAAGAAGTTTTATTGTTTAATATTGTTGAGGTTTTCTTCTTCAATATCAGATTTTTCCACTTTTCCCCAAGGAAGTATTTTTTCCCAGACCAGCTGGGGGAGGAGCTGATTGAATCTGCTTCCTAGAGGAATCCTTTGGGGGTTCTCTCCCAAATTTGCCCTGAAGCAGGACAGGGACAAGGCCAGGGAGGAAGGAAATGCTCACTCCCAGTGCTGCCATGAGCACTGAGGGTCTTTTTGCTGCAGTTTTGGGGGTTCCTGAACACCCCAAAGAGGAGATGGGAGGTGGGAGCAGGCAGGCAGTGAGGAAGGCCAGCTCTGGAGCAGCTGTGCAATGGAAATGAGGAGGAGGAAGATAAAGACGTGCAGCATCACCCCGTGCCCAGAGCTCCCAGATCAATCATCCATCCCTTAATGGCATTTCAATGGTGAGAGGCAGAGCAGAGCCGGGCCCAGGAGCCGGGCAGGATGTCTGGCCGGAGATGAGCCGCACAGATGATGCCTTTGGGGACCCCCGAGCCGCCTCATCCCCCCTCCACCCCCTCTGCAGGCACCAGGGAAAAACCCCGACCCTCCCAGGGGTTGCTGCTGCCCCATATGGGGGGCGTGGGACCCCCAGCATGTCCCGAGCGGCTCTGGGTGGCCTTTGCCAGCAGAGGGGACTGTTGCTCGTCTTTCCAGAAGCGCTCCCGTGGGACAGCTCGGGAGGAGACATTCCTGCCCTCCTCGCCCTGCTGAGGACAGAGCAGGGACCTCCAGTGGGAAAAATCACCGTCTCCCGGGAGAAAACGCTGGCAAGGCTCACCCCGAGCGACGTTTTCCTGCTGCTTTTGTTGGCAGGAACCTCCTAGAGTTCGAAATTCTCCATCTCTGCCCTTCCCCCAGATAAGTCATCTGGGGTGAATAAAGAGAGAAAAATCCAAGCTCCCAATGCCCAAATATTGCACCGTGACTGATGGAAGCTCTGACGGAAATCAAACTTGGAGCCGGTGCTTGCCAAGTCTCGGAGGAGCTGCTCCCGTCGGGCTCCCGGACGGACATCTGGAAAGAAAGAAAATTGCAGCTGGACACAGCTGGACACAGCTGGACACAGCTGGATGCAGCACCCCAGGGAGCCACTGGCCACACAGCTGAGCTGCTGTCCCTCCGCAGAGGGATTTCCACGCGGGTGGATCCAGGGACTGCCCTGAGCCCGGAGCAGCCCCGGGCACCACGAGATGTCCTCGGTCACCTGGGCAGGGCTGTGAGAGCCTCGGTGGGCTCCTCTGGGGCTCCTTGCCCAGGTTTTGGAGCTGACAAACCCCCACCGAGGGATGCTGCAGCCAGCGTGGGCATCTGCCAAGTGCCCTTGGACACCTCCCAAGCCCCACGGCAGCGCTCCAGCTCCCTGGCATGGCCCTCAGGCTTTAGGGAGGGCATTCCTCACCGATCCACGCCGGGAGAACATCCAAACCCTGCTGCCACCCTGCCGAGGTGGGAAGCAGCACCTTGCTCTTCTGCAGGGCTGCGAAATCAGAGCTCAGCGAGTGGGCTGGAGTGGGCTCGGCTGTGCAAGGGTTAAATCCGGCTGCTCGGCCGGTCTCGGGGGCCTCCCACTCGGCAGCGCAGAGTATGAATAGCTGCGCTGCCCTCCGCTCCAGCCACTCGCTTCCCTCCTCGTTCTTTGGCGCTCTGCTCTTCCTCCCGGCATCTTCCTCCCCGGGCATCTTCATCTTCCTCCCCCGGGCATCTTCCTCCCCGGGCATCTTCCTCCCCGGGCATCTTCATCTTCCTCCCCCGGTATCTTCCTCCTCCGGCATCTTCCTCCCCGGGTATCTTCCTCCCCCGGCATCTTATTCCTCCCCCGGCATCTTCCTCCCTCGGTGTCTTCTTCCTCCCCCGGCATCTTCATCTTCCTCCCCGGGCGGCTCCCGAGCCCCGGCAGCCTCCGGCAGCGCCCATGCTGAGCACGGCAAGTTTCTCAGGGCCGAGAGCCCTGCGAGAGGAATCGCTGCAGATGTGGGACCTCAACAAGCGGCTGGAGGCGTACCTGGCCCGCGTGAAGTTCCTGGAGGAGGAGAACGAGGTGCTGCGAGCCGAAATCCAGAGCAGCAAGAACAGCCCGGCCGGGGACTCGTGGCGGGTCAAATACGAGGAGGAGCTGCGAGCCCTGAGGGATGCGCTGGATTGCGCCTTCAGGGAGAAGTGCTCGGCCGAGCTGGCCAGGGACAACCTCTACGAGGAGGTGCAGCAGGTGAAAAGCAGGTGCCAGAAGGAGCAGGTAGCTCGAGAAGAAGCTAAGAAGCAGCTGTCCTTGAGCAGGAAGGAGCTGGAGGAGGAGAGGAGAGCGCAGATCTGGCTGAAGGAGAGAGCTGTGCAGCTGGAGAAGGAGGTGGAAGCCTTGCTGGAGGTGCACGAGGAGGAGAAAGCGGGGCTGGACCAGGAGATCGCCACTTTCTCCCACAGCCTGGAGAGCTTCCGCTGTGCCCCGGTGGCTTTCCAGCCGGTGGAGGTGGAGGATTACTCCAAGAGACTCTCGGAGATCTGGAAAGGGGCGGTGGAGACCTACAAGACGGAGGTGTCGCAGCTGGAGGGTTCCCTCTGCCAGGCCAAGGAGAACCTGTGGAAGGCGGTGGAGGACAACCAGCAGAGCCAGCTGCAGCTGCAGCACCTGGAGAAGGAGCTGGCGGGGCTGAAAGCTCGGAAGGAGATGCTGGAGGAGAGCCTGGCCCGGCAGTGGCAGGAGCAGCGAGGGGAGGCAGAAAAGTTCCAGGCGAGTGAAGGCGGTGGGAAGGAGATGGGTCCCGGGGAGGGGAGGGGGCTGTGGGTGCTGGGTGGGATGGGAGAGGTGGATGGGAAACAGAGGGAGCAAACCCCAGGCTGCGGAGGAAGATGAGGAGGGCAGGAGGAAGAGCGAAGTGGCTTTGGACATCTCTACCCCCGGCACAACAGACCCGGAGCCACCAAAGTGCAGCGGAGCAGCCGCCGGGTGCTCCCCCAGCACCGTGCCCGGGGCTGTTTGTCCCTGACCCGTGCCAGGACCGGGACCCAGCCCCGGGACAAACTCCCACCGGGGCCGCTGCGGCTGCAAAAGCGATTCAGCAGCGGGAGGCGGAGGCGGGTTGGGCTGGAAACAGCGGCAGCGGGGTCAGCACTGCCCGGGGAAGGGTCTCCCTTTGTTCCAGCTCCCGGCAGCAGCCGTGGGGGTCCTGGGGCAGAGAGTGAAGCCGCCTCGGTGCTGCCCTGAAAGTTGTTTCTTTCCCACCGGCCTTTCCTCCCTCTTCCCATCGCTTTTCAGCCGCGCTCATCTTGCCCCATCTGTCCCCCGCGCTATTTTTCGAACACATATAAATAATATCTGTTTTTTTCCGGGTTAAATAAAGGTGGCCCGTCCGCCTTGGACAAGTCCAAGTCGGTTTTAAACCCAAGGAGCGCCCAGGCTCCCGTCCCTCGGCATCCCGGGGGACGCACCGAGCCCCATGCCCGGGGAGCGGAGGGGATGGGACCGGGCTGGGGGTGGCCCTGACCCCGCTGTGCTCCCGCAGCTGGCGATGGAAGCCCTGGAGCAGGAGCAGCAGAGCCTGAGGGCGCAGATCGCCCGGGTGCTGGAGGACAGGCAGCAGCTCATGCACCTCAAGATGTCCCTGAGCCTGGAAGTGGCGACCTACAGGTGACAAACAGGGCTGGGCGCGCCTGGCACCGCGGTGGGCACACGGGGAGGGGTTGGCACAAGGTGGGTCAGGCTCGGGGTAGCCCCGTGCCCCTTCCGCAGCCCTTCCAGATGGCCCCGCACAAAGGCGGCCAGCCGGGGACCCGGGGGACCATTAGCATGAGAATAGGGCAGAGCATGATGTCACCCTGCGCGGACACTAATCCCGGCCCCGGGGGGATGGGAGGGGAGGCAGGAGCAAGGGGGGTTCCCTCGGTGCGGTCCGTGTCCTCACCGAGCCGTGACAGAGCCGCGAAACCCCCCGTGCCTCAGTTTACCTCACCCAGCGGGGTGAGCTGGGGCGCGCACAGGGAGCACTCAGCACCCTGCAGCACCCACCCTGCAGCACCCAGCACCCACCCAGCAGCACCCAGCACCCTGCAGCACCCACCCAGCAGCACCCAGCACCTGCAGCACCCACCCAGCAGCACACACCCTGCAGCACCCAGCACCTGCAGCACCCACCCAGCAGCACCCAGCACCTGCAGCACCCACCCAGCAGCACCCACCGAGCTCCTCTCCCCCTCCAGGACGCTGCTGGAAGCGGAGAGCACCCGCCTGCAGATGCCCGCCGGGGAATTCAGGTTGGCCAACGGTGTGCGAGGTAAGGGAGACCCCCAGCACCACCCCAACCCCACCGCCTCACCCTGGGAGGGCTCGTGGCGGGGTTTAGATGTGTTTAAATGTGGATTTAGACACGTTTCCCTGCATTTTCCTGACAGCGTGCTGCAATAGGAAGGTGTGATCAGCGGCGGGGGGGCTGTTGGCTTGGGGCTCACAGCCCAGATAAGGCTTATCTGCTCCTTTTTAAAGTTTATCTGCTCCTTTCTAAAGTTTATCTGCTCCTTTCTAAGGCTTATCTGCTCCTTCCCCTCCTTTTTTAATTCCCTGCCTTTCATGGGAAGGGCAGGAGCGGATCTGCCCAGCAGGACGGAGGGCTGTGGTAACAAGCTGAGCATTTCCTTTTTCCTCCAAACAAAACAAATCACAAAACAAGAAGGAAAATTGTCACCTGCACACTTTCCCCAGCAGCAGGGCCGCAGCTGGGCACTGCATTGTCCCGGCCCGATGCTGAATCCCCCGGGAGCAGCAGCATCCGCTGCGCTCAGGAGAGAGGAATTTCCCACTTTCCAAGAAGGAGCTGCTCAAAAATAGGAGAGGGCAGCCGGGGAGGGAGGGCTGGGAGAGCCACGGAGCGGCTCCTCGCCTGCTCAAGGCTCCACCTCACTCTTTGCAGATCTCAAACTGGAGCTGAGCAGCAGCAGCGGCAGCAAAGTGGTGCCAGCGGGGAGGGGGCAGCCGGCAAAACCCCAAAGCGACACCCTGAGCCCCAAAAGCCCCAGGGAGGTGCAGAAAATCACCTCAGTCCTCCAGGGCACGGCCAGCAGCCGGGTTGGGGTGTCGGGAGCCCCTGGGTGCCCCTCACCCAGCCCACCCCAGGCTGGCAGAGCCGCCCCTCTGCTCTCCCCAGAGCCCCCCAACCCCTCAGCGCCGGGGCAGGAGAGCTCTGGGGGAGAGGGTCCCGCCTGGCCGGGAGGAGATGGAGCAGCGATCAGCCCGGGGATGGAGTGTCCCCTGTCCCGAGCCTCGGGGGACACTGGCAGTGCCACCCCCGGGGCTGCCCGCAGGCTGCGGTACCCGGCCCGGCTGGTCAGCGAGGCGCTGGAGGACGCGCTGAAGGAGATGGGAGATGATGCTCAGCCCAAAGAGGAGCCCACAGCCAGCTCCACATGGGATCTCTGTGCCCCCAGCCCCATTTTCCCCCCCGAGGTTTGTGGGGAGGCTGTGTCCGAGGAGCCCTCAGGGGGTTCTGAGGCTGGAGAGAGCCCCGAGGCAGAGCAGAGGGATGGGGAGGTCCTGCTCCAGGGGTTGGATGTGGGGAGAAGCATCCTGCAGCACACAGAGGGGTCCCTGAGTGCCTCGGCCAGCCGGGAAGATCTGCGAGCGTGGGAGGAAGAGGAGGAGGAGGAGGAGGAGGAGGAGGAGGAAGAGGAGGTACCTGCTGTGCTGAGCCCAAGATATCCAGAAGTGGAGGCTCAGGAAAGGGACAATGGTCCTGCTGGGCAGGCAGTGAGCAGCTGGGAAAAGGCAGAGCAGGAAAGGACACAGACCCCAAGCCCAGAGCCTTCACAGCCCTCAGAGGATGAGGAGGAGGAGGACAAGGGAGATTTCCAGGAAGAAGCAGCAGATGTGCAAGAAGAGGAGTGTTCACACAGAGAAGTGGAAGCTGTCGCTGCTGTCCTTGTGGAAAGGCACCTGGTTTTGCCCACAGAAGGTCACCTGGAAGAGGATTTTGTTGGTGCAGAGCAGGAAAGGTCTGAGCAGCAGAAAATGCCTCTGTGTGAGACGGATCTGGCTGCAGAGAAGGAGAGGGGACAGGAGCTGCGTCCAGAGCTGAAGGCCTCAAGTGTCCATGAGGCCATCCCAGCAGAGGAGGCTTCCACAGGAGATGCTGTGGGAGGGGAGGACACGGACAGAGTGGGAGATGGTGAGGGAGAAAAGGGAGAGGCCGGCAGGGAGGTGCTGGGAGGAGAAGATCGTGGGGTAGGGCAGGACCCCATGGCAGGAGAGGACCTCACGGCAGGAGAAGACCATGGGGCAGGAGAAGACCATGGGGCAGGAGAAGACCATGGGGCAGGAGAAGACCAAGGGGCAGGAGAAGACCACGGGGTAGAAGACTCTGAGACAGAAGAGGAGCAAAGGATAGGAGAAGACTCTGAGGCAGGACAAGACCATGGGGCAGGAAAAGGCTCCGAGGTAGGAGAAGACCATGGGGCAGTAGAAGAGCAAGGGGCAGAAGGCTCCAAGGAAGGACAAGACCATGGGGCAGGAGGAGACCATGGGGCAGGAGAAGACCAAGGGGTAGAAGACTCTGAGGCAGAAGAGGAGCAAGGGATAGGAGAAGACTTTGAGGTAGGACAAGACCATGGGGCAGGAGAAGAGCAAGGGGCAGAAGGCTCCAAGGAAGGACAAGACCATGGGGCAGGAGAAGGTTCTGAGGAAGGACAAGACCATGGGGCAGGTGAAGGTTCTGAGGAAGGACAAGACCATGGGGCAGGAGAGGCTGTGGGAGGTGCCACCCCAGAGGGGGAGAGCAGAGCCCCAGAGGAGCCCGAGGACCTGCAGGAAAGAGAGGGAGGAGAACAGCAGGAGGAGGAAGAGGAGCCCTGGGGACGGGGGGATGATGGCCAAGAGCCCTGTCCAGAGGACTGGGAGGTGACAGCAGAGGACTCAGAGGGACTTTTGGGGCCAGAAGAGGCAGCCTGGGCAGAGGACACCCCCAGCAGCGCAGGAAGGCTGCACAGCGAGGAGACACACGGCGCAACGCCAGCAGAGCTGGAGGAAGGCCAGGAGGATGATGAAGGCGATGCCAAGAGCCAGGAGATGAGGCAGCAGCGGGCACTGCCAGAGGATGAGCCAGCAGCAGGGCTGGCATGGCTGGGCAGCATGGCAGAGCCTGACCCAGCACCTCCAGGTGTCCCCGAGCGAGGGCACAGGCAGGAGATGGCCGAGGTGCAGGAGGAGATGGAGGAGGAGCTGCAGGAGGAGCTGCAGGAGGAGCTGCAGGATGAGGACACCACCGAGGGGCTCAGCCCAGGGCTGGAGAAGCTGCAGAGCTCCGAGCTGGTGGCACTGAAGCAGGTGCCAGGTGCCAGTGGTGAGTGGGCACTGGAGGAGCCCCCCAAGGACCTGGAGGCCACCACGGGCAGCAGCAGGAGGGTGGAGCTGGAGGACACGCTGCCGGACAGCACAGCCCTGCTCCTCTACAGAGAGGAGGTGCTGGGTGTGGGGACAGCCAGCCCAAACCCTCCAGAGAGCGAGGAGACCTCGGAGACAGCACCCACGAGTGGCACAGCTCAGGAGGGTGACGGGTGGCTGCAGGATGGGGACAAGCCACCCACTCCCACCGTGCCAGACAGCCCCGAAGAGGAGGCAGGGGCAGAGGGGGCTGAGGAGGAGGAAGGTTATTTCATGGTCTCTGCTCCCAGCCAAGAGGAAGCTGAGATCTCCGAGGACTTTGAAGAAATTAAAGTTGAAGCAACTGAAGGCAGCCGAGATGATCTGAGGGCTCCTGGAGAAGCATCTCCAGCGCCAGAGGGCAAAGAGCAGCTCGAGGTGCTTGCTGCAGAAGCAGATGAGGATGTGGAGATGCCCACTGAAGAAGAATCTGAGGTGCCAAGGGATGAGGACAACACTGCTGAGCTGGAGGAAGGCCCAGAAGAAGATCCAGGCTGCCTCGGGGTGGTGGCACCATCAGCAGGAGGTCCTGATGAGCCACCCCAGGGTGCCACAGGCACGGCAGCTTTGGAGGCACCAGACCCCTCTGAAAGTCTGGCTGCTGGATCTGTGGAGCTCCAGCACACAGCTGAGCTGGAGAGGGATGCCAGGGCACCAACAACCGTCCCGGGCTTGGCAGGGCGGGAGGAGCAGGAGGAAGAGGAGGATGAGCCCAGCACGGCTCTCCATGGCATGACCAAGGCCACCCCTCCAGAAGAGCAGCCTCTGGAAGAGCAGACACCCACGGAGGAGGAGGAGGCACTCGGCAGTCAGAGCCTTCCTCCCCCTGGGAACGGGCAGGGAGGTCTTCCAGAGGCGATCCCAGACATTCCTGACCCACCTGTCCTCCCTGCAGACGTGCCAGGGGATCTCATGAAGGACTCAGATATTTTGGAAATAGTCGAGCAGGCCCTGGAATTCAACCAGGAGCTGGTGGGGGTGAGGCTGGCAGAGGGTGGGCAAGGTCCTGGCAGGAGTGAGGTCCTCCAGGATGCAGGAGAAGAGTCCTCGTGTGCCTCATCCAGCGAGGAGGAGCCAACGGTGCAGGAGGCACCGGAGATGGAGAATGGTCTGCACCGCCAGGCCAGCCTGGAAGACCTGGCTGAGTTCACTGAGGAGCTGCTGAACGGCACCACCAGCACAGCCCCAGCTCAGGAGATGCCCACAGACACCACAGAGCCCTCGCTGGGGATGCCAGAGCAGCCCCCCAGCCCTGGGGATGGCACTGCCACCAAGCTGGGGGATGGCACCCCGAGGGGGAAGCGTGCTGGAGCCGAGCCCAGCGCCGTGCCCCCTGCTCTGGGGGAGGATGTTCTGTGCCTCCCACCCGGGCTGAGGGCTGAGCACCAGCCCTGGTCCTCAGGGGACGAGTGACAGCAGCCAGGGGCATCCTTCTGGTACCCCCTTCCTGCCAAAACCCGGTACCTCCACTCGTCCCAGCCCTCTCCTGATGCTTCCCCAGCTCCTTGAGGTTTTTACCATGTTTGTGTGGATTTTTTGCACCCTTTCTCAGAGTGAAGGAGCACCGAGTTGTCCCCCTCTGCAGCCCACCCAAATTCGCATGCTTGCTCTGGGACCCCTGCTTCATTTTGGGTTTCCTCCTGGGCGGGTTGCCGTGGCTGTATTTAATTTAAACTCTGTGTTTGCCCATTTTCTGCAATCCTCCCCCTCCAGCTCCCCCAGTATTTGTCCCAGGAGGTCCAGCTGGGGGTTAGGGACCCCCCCCCCTCCCCCAAACTGCACCCTGGGACTCAGAATTTTGGGTACATCACCCCAGGGTCCCCAGCCCCAACCCGACACGGGGGGCTGAGCCACACTGGATGTATCCACTGCCTCGACATTAATTTAATAAAACCTCATCCTCCCACTCAGGGCCTGGCTCTCCTCACTCTGGGGCGGGGAGCAGGGCTGGGGGGCAGGGAGGGCTGTGTTTTGGGGGGGGGGGGGGGCACTTCCAGGCTGCTTTTGGCTGGGAAATGCCCCTGGGGGCATCCAGCAGCACGGGCTGGGGGCAGGGTGATACCCCCAGGAAATGCTCCCCCATTCCAGGGTGATGCAGCCCCCCAGGACAATGCCCCCAGGAGATGTTCCTCCATCCCCAGGGTGATGCAGCCCCCCAGGACAATACCCCCAGGAGGGGGTTCCCCCATTCCCAGGGTGATGCAGCCCCCAGGGTGATACCCCCAGGAGATGTTCCTCCATTCCAGGGCGATGCAGCCCCCCAGGACAATGCTCCAAGGAGGTTTCCCCATTCCCAGGACAATGCCCCCAGGAGATGTTCCTCCATTCCAGGGTGATACCCCCAGGAGATGTTCCCCGATTCCCAGGGTGATGCAGCCCCCCAGGAGGGGGTTACCCCATTCCCAGGGTGATGCAGCCTCCCAGGACAATACCCCCAGGAGATGTTCCTCCATTCCAGGGCGATGCAGCCCCCCAGGAGATGCTCCCCATTCTCAGGGTGATGCAACCCCCCAGAACAATGCCCCCAGCAGATGCTCCCCCATTCCCAGGGTGATGCAGTCCCCCAGGACAATACCCCCAGGAGATGTTCTTCCATTCCCAGGGTGATTCAGTCCCCAGGACAATGCTCCAAGGAGGTTCCCCCATTCCTAGGGTGATGCAGTCCCCCAGGACAATACCCCCAGGAGATGTTCCTCCATTCCCAGGGTGATGCAGCCCCCCAGGACAATGCTCCAAGGAGGTTCCCCCATTCCCAGGGTGATGCAGCCCCCCAGGAGATGTTCCTCCATTCCAGGGTGATGCAGCCCCCCAGGACAATACCCCCAGGAGATGCTCCCCCATTCCAGGGTGATGCAGCCCCCCAGGAGGGGGTTCCCCATTCCCAGGGTGGTGCAGCCCCCAGGACAATACCCCCAGGAGATGTTCCCCCATTCCCAGGCTGATGCAGCCCCCCAGGAGGGGGTTCCTCCATTCCAGGGTGGTGCAGCCCCCAGGACAATACCCCAAGGAGATGTTCCCCCATTCCCAGGGTGGTGCAGCCCCCCAGGACAATACCCCCAGGAGATGTTCCCCCATTTCCCAGGGTGATGCAGCCCCCCAGGAGATGTTCCTCCATTCCAGGGTGATGCAGCCCCCCAGGAGATGCTCCTCCATCCCCAGGGCGATGCAGCCCCCAGGGTGATACCCCCAGGAGATGTTCCTCCATTCCCCATCCTGCCCGATGTGGGCACGGTGCCCGCGGAACACCCCGCACATCCCGACCCCGGAAGCTGCCGGAACCCCGTGGGGACCCCCCGAGCGAAGCGGGGCTGCGGGGGGCTCAATCTCCCCGTTGTGCAGCAGAGCCGAAGAACGGGTTCCTTCATGCCGGGCGAAGGGCTGAGTGACCCGGGACAGGACACACGGTGCCTCGGGTGGCCCTGGCACCGCTGGCACCGCTGGCACCGCCGGCTGCGCTCCCGGTGCCCGATTTAGCTCGGTGGTTCCCGTGGCGGGGATGCTCCGAGCCAGCAGCGATAAGAACCGACATTTCCCCTCCTTCCTCCGTGCCAAAGTCCCCCTGCCCTGCCCGGAGGCGACAGATTCCTTTTAAGGTGAAACTGCGACCGCCGGGAGATAAAATCCCCTTCCGAGGGGCTGAATCCGCGCTCCATCCCACCTCAGCCCCAGCGGAGCCCCCCGAGCCCCCCGAGCCCCCCGAGGGGTCCCCGAGGCCCGCAGAGGAGGGGGAGGATGGAGAGGAGGGGACAGACACGGCCCGGGAGTGCGGGGGGTGAGGTGACATTCCTCCCGAAATGAATCCGCATTCCTGCGCCGGGACAGGGCGATGAGGGGGCGCAGATGGCGGGGGGAGGGGAGCCCTTCATCCCCGCCGGGAGGAGGAGGAGGAGGAGGAGGGGAGGAAGAGCTGAAGGCCGGGAGTGCTGAAATTGGGGGGTGGGGGAGATTTGGGATCTGCAGCCGGGGGGGAGAGAGAGCCCTGGTGGGGCTCCGGGGCTGGGAGGGGATGGGCAGGATGGGATCCCCAAAGGGACAGAGTGTCCCCAAAGGGACAGAGAGTGTCCCCAACGGGACAGAGAGTGTCCCCAACGGGACTGAGAATGTCCCCGACCCAGAGTGTCCCCAACAGGACCGAGAGTGTCCCCAATGGGACAGAGAGTGTCCCCAACAGGATCGAGAGTGTCCCCAACGGGACAGAGAATGTCCCCAATGGGACAGAGAATGTCCCCAAGGGGACAGAGAGTGTCCCCAATGGGACAGAGAGTGTCCCCAACAGGACCGAGAATGGCCCCAACAGGACCGAGAATGTCCCCAATGGGATTGAGCTTGTCCCAGCAGGAGCAAGGGTGTCACTGGTGGGACCAAATGTGTCCCCAAAGGGACTGAGCGTGTCCCCAAAGGGACTGAGCATGTCCAAACAGGAGCCAGGGCGTCACTGGTGGGACCAAATTTGTCCCCAACAGGACAGTGTGTCCCCAAAGGGTTTGAGTGTGTCCCCCAAGGGTCTGAGTGTGTTCCCAAAGGGATTGAGTGTGTCCCCAAATATGACCCTGGGGGGACCAAAATGGCCTGGGGGGACCAAACGTGGCCCTGGGGGGACCAAAAATGACCCTGGGGGGACCAAAAATGACCCTGGAGGGACCAAATATGATCCTGGGGGGACCAAATATGACTATGGGGGGACCAAATATGACCCTGGGGGTACCAAATATGACCCTGGGGGGACCAAACATGACCATGGGAGGACCAAACATGACCCTGGGGGGACCAAATATGACCCTGGGGGGACCAAATATGACCCGGGGGGTACCAAATATGACCATGGGGGTACCAAATATGACCCTGGGGGTACCAAATATGGCCCTGGGGGGACCAAAAATGACCATGGGGGTACCAAATATGACCCTGGGGTGACCAAATATGACCCTGGGGCGACCAAATATAGCCCTGGGGGGACCAAACATGACCCTGGGGGGACCAAACATGGCCCTGGGGGGACCAAATATGGCCCTGGGGGGACCAAATATGACCCTGGAGGGACCAAACATGGCCCTGGGGGGACCAGAATGGCCCTGGGGGGACAAACATGGCCCTGGGGGTACCAAAAATTACCATGGGGGTACCAAATATGACCTTGGGGGTACCAAGTATGACCCTGGGGGGACCAAACATGGCCCTGGGGGGACCAAATATGACCATGGGGGGACCAAACATGACCCTGGGGGTACCAAATATGACCCTTGGGGGCACTTGGGTGCCTGGGTCACCCCATAAGTGCCCTGGCTGGGGCTGCAGCTTGGTCCCAAATTCCATCAGCCCCAAGCAGAGTGTTCCAGGCCCCACGGGCAGCACCCACTGTGGTGTGCAAAGGGGGGGCAGGGGGTCCTGGGGGGTGCTGCCAATTGTTGCCCGGGCTGGAGCTCTCAGAGCCCCCCACCCCCCGCAGCCTGGCCCCCCGCCAGCCAGGGAAGGGTTTTGTTTCCTCCCGGCCTGGCCGAGGGGATTTTCAATGGAGGCCACACAAAAACCTCCCTGTGGGGTGAGCCGGGAGGGGGATGAGGCGGGATGACCTCAGCGATGACTTCATTCCTCTCGCAGCTCCCAAAAATTCGTGGGAACCTTATAAGGAAAGGACTAAAAATACATCAGGAGGGGGTGCGGGCAGCCCTCGCTCCCCCTCCCCAAAATGAGCCCTTGGGGGTGTTGCCAAGGGGGGTTCACGGCGGGGACAATCCATAGGGACCCCAAAATCCCCACGGGGGAGCAGAGCAGCGCTGTGGGTGCCACCCCGGGGTGGCATCAGCGGTGCCCACCAGCACCGTCTCCTCCCGTGGCAGCTCCAGGGGACCCCCTCGGGCACCCCTTCACCCGGGGCAGACCCGGAATAGCTGCCCCGGAGCTAAAATCGGCTCGGGGGCTCGCTCAGCTGCCGGGCCGTGCCCCGGTGCGGCGGCAGCTGGGCCAGCCCGGCCCGGAGGATACCGGGGCCGAGCCCGGGGCAAACCCGCCGGGAATGCGCGGCTGGGGCTGTCCGTCAGCGGCGGGGGCGGGGGGGGGGAGCCCGGGATGGTGGGCCCCGAGCTCTGGGGATGCACCCCAATTCCTGGGGATGCACCCCAATCCCTGGGGATGTACCCCAATCCCTGGGGATGTACCCCAATCCCTGGGGATGCACCCCAATCCCTGGGGATGTACCCCAATCCCTGGGAATGCACCCCAATCCCTGGGGATGCACCCTGATCCCTGGGGATGCACCCCAATTCCTGGGGATGTACCCCAATTCCCGGGGATGCACCCCAATTCCTGGGGATGCACCCCAATTCCTGGGAATGCACCCCAATTCCCGGGGATGCACCCCAATTCCTAGTGATGCACCTCAATTCCTGGGGTGCACCCCAATTCCTGGGGATGCACCCCAATTCCTGGGAATGTACCCCAATTCCTGGGGATGCACCCCAATTCCTGGGGATGCACCCCAATCCCCGGCACACAGACACGGGTGTGGCACAGGGTCACAGGTGTGGCACAGGGACACGGGTGTGGCACAGGGACACAGGGGTGGCACAGGGACATGGGTGTGGCACAGGGACACAGGGGTGGCACAGGGACATGGGTGTGGCACAGAGACACGGGTGTGGCACATGGGGTGTGGCACAGGGACACGGGTGTGGCACAAGGACATGGGTGTGGCACAGAGATATGGGGTGTGGCACACAGAGTGTGGCACAGGGACATGGGTGTGGCACACGGGGGTGGCACAGGGTCACAGGTGTGGCACAGGGACACAGGTGTGGCACGGGGACATGGGTGTGGCACAGAGACATGGCAGTGGCACACGGGGGGTGGCACAGGGACATGGGTGTGGCATAGGGAAATGAGTGTGGCACACGGGTGTGGCACAGGGTCACAGGTGTGGCACACAGGGTGTGGCACAGTGTCACGGGGGTGGCACAGGGACACGGGGGTGGCACAGGGTCACAGGTGTGGCACAGGGCCACACGTCTGTCACACCGTGCCTCAGTTTCCCTCATCCCGCCTGCCAGGCCCAGCCACAGGCAGGAAGGGGATGAGCCAAAGATGGGGAGAGGAGAATCCCCCCAGAGCCCCCAGATTTGGGGACAGCCCCTGCACAGGTGGCACTGGGACAATGGGGCCATGTCCCCAGCCCCGGGCTGGCCCCGAGCCCCGTGCCAAGGCTGAGCCCGGTACCCAGTGCCCAGGGCAGGGCTGGGGCGCGGTGCCAGCCCAGGGACACGTGCTGGGGACAGGATGTGACCGCGGCCAGCCCTGAGTCACCGCTGGCACCCGACCCAGCCCGGGAGGGGACAGCAGGGGACAGCAGGGGACAGCAGGGGACAGGAAGGGCCCTTGGCTCTGGGCCCTTGTCCCCAACAGCTTCCACAGCGGGGCTGGGGGCTCCATTCCCAGTTTGGGACCACATTCCCAGTTTGGGACCCCATTCCCAGTTTGGGAACCCTGTGCCCAGTTTAGAAGCCCCATTCCCAATTTAGAAACCCCATTCCCAGTTTAGAGACCTCATTCCCAGTTTAGAGACCTCACTCCCAGTTTGGGAACCCACTCCCAGTTTAGGGACCCCATTCCCAGTTTGGGAACCCTGTGCCCAGTTTAGAATTCTGCGGGAATTCTGCGGGAATTCTGCCCCATTCCCGGGCTCGCTGGCCCGGGGGCAGCAGCTGCCGGCAGGGTTTGGGTTTCGGGCAGGGGGGGACCCCCCGAGCCGGCCCTTCCTCCTCCTCCTCCTCCTCCTCCTCCTCCCCCCTTAGGGGGTCCTGACCCCCAGCCCGGCCCGAGGCCGCGGTGGGGCACAGGGGGGCACCAGAGCCCGGAGGGGTCCGGAGGAACGGCCCTGGCCCCCCCACTGCCCCCCCTGAGTGGGGACAAAGAGAACTGGGGGATCCCAGCGCCCAGTTCAGATCACTGGAGAGACCCCAGACCCCAGTTCAGACCCCAGCCCCCCAGTTCTGCCCCCTGGAGAGACCCCAGCCCCCAGTTCAGACCCCTGGAGAGACCCCAGCCCCCCAGTTCAGACCTCAGCCCCCCAGTTCTGCCCCCTGGAGAGACCCCAGCCCCCCAGTTCAGACCCCAGCCCCCCAGTTCAGTCCCCAGACCCCCAGTTCAGACCCCAGCCCCCCGGTTCTGCCCCTTTTCCAGACCCCAGCCCCCCAAATCTGACCCCTGGAAAGAACCCAGCCCCCAGCTGAGACCCAGCCCCCCAGTTGAGACCCCAACCCCCCAGTTCTGACCCCTGGAGAGACCCCAGCCCCCCAGTTCTGCCCCTTTTCCAGACCCCAGCCCCCCAGTTCTGTCCTGGTACCCAAGTTCAGACCCCCCAGTCCAGCCCCCAGCCCCCTCCCTGTCCAGGCCCCCCCTCCATGACCCTTTTAGGATCCCGCAGAGCTCCGTGGACCACCCTGTGACCCCCCCCGGGAGGAACCAGGGGGGACCCCTCAAGGAGTGCCCTCACCGGGACCCCCAGGATGGTGCTCAGGACCCCCGGGACACCCCCTGGGACCCCCAAAACCCCCGGGAGCCCTCAGACCCCCAAGAACCCCCCTCCAGCACCCCAAAACTCTGCGGGTGTCCCCCCAATGTCCCCCCAGGCCACGCCCCCGGCACTGGCCACGCCCCCGGCACTGGCCACGCCCACAACCGCGAATTTAGCCACGCCCATTGCTTTGGCTCCGCCCACTGCCACGCCCACGGGTATAACCACACCCCATTGGTCCCGCACGCTCATTTGGCCCCGCCCACTGCCCCGCCCTCCGCGCGCCCTGCGCGCCCCCTGCCGGACGCCCGCCGCACCCGCACCTCCCGCTCTACCCTCTGATTGGCCACCCGCTTCCAGCCAATCAGAGAGAAGTATCCAACCATGAGTCCCCGCCCAACCGCTGTTTCAGCCAATCGCAACGCGAAGCGCCTCCCCTCCACCCCAGCCCCGCAAGCACCGCCCCCACAACCAATCAGCGCCGCGGCTGAGGGGTGATGGGCGGGCGGAGGAGGGCGTTTCCACCAATGGGCGCGGCGTGCGGCGCGGAGGGGGCGGGGCCAGCGCGGGGGGCGTGCCCGCGGCTTCCAGAGAGTTCGGAGACGGCGGCGGAGCGGCGGCGGCGGTGAGTGAGGGGGGGGCGGCCCCGGGACCCCGCCGCGACCCCCGGAGCCCCCCGGAGCCCCCCGGAACCTCCGAGACACCCCCGGGCCGCCCGCCCCGCCGGTGTCAGGCCGGGCCGGGCCCGCGCAGCCAAGCGGCGGCTCCTCGGGTTGACCTGAGGGCCTGCGGGGCACCGGGGGGGGCTCTGAGGCGGCCGCTCCTCCGTGAGCGCCGGGCTCGGCTCCGCTCCGTCACACCGCTGTGGGCTCCGGGATGTCACCGTGCTGCCCGGTACCCCTGCACACCGCCGGTCCGCCACCCTCGGGGCGGTGGGACCAGGCGGGACCGACCCAGCCCCGGGATCCCGGGGGATGGAGCAGCTCCAGCCACGGGGATCCCGTGTTGGACCCGGTGGGACCCAGCCCCGGGGGTCCCCAGCTCCAGCCACGGGGATCCCGCGTTGGACCCGGTGGGACCGACACAGCCCCGGGGGATGGAGCAGCTCCAGCCACGGGAATCCCGCGTTGGACCGGGCAGGACCCAGCCCCGGGGGTCCCGGGGGTCCCCAGCTCCAGCCACGGGAATCCCGCGTTGGGCCCGGTGGGACCGACCCAGCCCCGGGGGTCCCGGGGGATGGAGCAGCTCCAGCCACGGGAATCCCGTGTTGGACCGGGCAGGACCCAGCCCCGAGGTCCCGGGGGTCCCACGTTGGACCGGGCAGGACCCAGCCCCGGGGGTCCCGGGAATCCCGCGTTGGACCGGGCAGGACCCAGCCCCGGGGGTCCTGGGGGTTCCCAGCTCCAGCCGCGGGGATCCCGCGTTGGACCCGGTGGGACCGACCCGGTCCCGGGGGATGGAGCAGCTCCAGCCACGGGAATCCCGCGTTGGACCGGGCAGGACCCGTCCCGGGGGTCCCACGTTGGACCGGGCAGGACCCAGCCCCGGGGTCCCCGGGGGATGGAGCAGCTCCAGCCGCGGGGATCCCGCGTTGGACCGGGCAGGACCCAGCCCCGGGGGTCCCGGGGGTCCCACGTTGGACCGGGCAGGACTGACCCAGCCCCGGGGTCCCGGGGGTCCCCAGCTCCAGCCACGGGAATCCCGCGTTGGACCCGGTGGGACCGACCCAGCCCCGGGTGTCCCGGGGGATGGAGCGGCTCCAGCCACGGGAATCCCGCGTTGGACCGGGCAGGACCCAGCCCCGGGGGTCCCCAGCTCCAGCCACGGGAATCCCGTGTTGGACCGGGCAGGACCCACCCAGCCCCGGGTCCCGGGGGTCCCCAGCTCCAGCCGCGGGGATCCCGCGTTGGACCGGGCGGGACCGACCCAGCCCCGGGGGATGGAGCAGCTCCAGCCACGGAGTTGGACCCGGTGGGACCGACCCAGTCCCGGGGGATGGAGCAGCTCCAGCCACGGGAATCCCGCGTTGGACCGGGCAGGACCCAGCCCCGGGGGTCCCGGGGGTCCCCAGCTCCAGCTACGGGAATCCCGCGTTTTACCGGGCGGCACCGACCCTCCCCGGCGGTCGCACCCAGCTCCGGTCCCGGTCAGACCGGTGCGCAGCGGGAAGCGCTTGTTCATTTATTTACCCGTGCGTTCCTCACGGGCGCTGCCCCGCGTCCCCCCGTGTCGCAAGATAAACGCGTCCCCACCCCACGCGGGGCTTATCGGCTGCGGCACACGGCCCCGGGGTGGGGACAGGGCCACCCCCGAGGCCGGACCCCCGTGCTGGATGTCCCCGCAGCGCTTCAGACATCCCTGACAGCGCGGGGGGACGCTCGAGGCGGGGCTGTGCATGAGGGACAACAGGCAGCAAAGAGTTTTGGGGGTCCCGCGGTGGGACGGGACTTGGGGGTCACCCCCACGCGTGCACACACTTGCAGGATGCCTGTGTGGGGCTGGCTGTCACCGTGTCATTGTCACTGTTGTTGTCGCCATCCGCTGTCCCACTGGGGGGAAACTGAGGAAACTGAGAGCAGGGACCAGCGGTTTTAGGGGGGATCAGGTTTTAGGGGGCTCACAGTGCCGGGCTCACGGGGCTCACGGTACCGGGGTCACGGTGCCAGGCTCACGGGGCTCACGGTGCCGGGCTCACACAGGGCTGGCTCACAGTGCCAGGCTCACGGTGCCGGGCTCACGGTGCAGGGCTCACAGTGCCAGGCTCACGGTGCCAGGCTCACAGTGCCAGTCTCACAGCTCTGTCCCATCCCATCGCAGCACAAGCAGGAAGATGGTGAAGGAGACTGGCTACTACGACCTGCTGGGCGTGCGGCCGGGCGCCACCCTGGACGAGATCAAGCGGGCGTACCGGCGCCTGGCACTGCGCTACCACCCCGACAAGAACCCCAGCGAGGGCGAGCGGGTACGTGCAGCCCCCCATTCCCCCCCCAGGGCGACCCTGGCCCGCCTCACCTGCCTCTCCCCCTCCCCAGTTCAAGCAGATCTCCCAGGCCTACGAGGTGCTGTCGGACTCCCACAAACGGGCGCTGTACGACCGTGGCGGTGAACGGGCCATGAAGGAAGGGGGCCTGGGCGGCCGAGGGGGCAGCGGCTTCGGCTCTCCCATGGACATCTTCGACCTCTTCTTCGGAGCGGGAGTGAGGATGCGCGGCCGGGCAGACCGGAGAGGTACGGGGTGAGGGGGCATCTCTCGGTGGGAGGGGGCTGCTGCCCAGCATGGTGGGGAGGTGACAGGTGACAACCCTGCTGGCACCTTTTGGTGGGAAGGGGTTGCTGCCCAGCATGATGAAGAGGTGACAGGAGGTGACAAACCTGCTGGCACCTCTTGGTGGGAAGGGGCTGCTGCCCAGCATGGTGGGGAGGTGACAACCCTGCTGGCACCTTTTGGTGGGAAGGGGTTGCTGCCCATCATGGTGAAGAGGTGACAATCCTGCTGGCACCTCTTGGTGGGAAGGGCTGCTGCCAGCATGGTGGGGAGGTGACAAGAGGTGACAAACCTGCTAGTGCCTCGTGGTGGGACGGGGCTGCTGCCCACCATGGTGGGGAGGTGACAGGAGGTGACAATCCTGCTGGCACCTTTTGGTGGGAAGGGGCTGCTGCCCAGCATGGTGGGGAGGTGATAGGAGGTGACAAACCTGCTAGTGCCTCGTGGTGGGAAGGGGTTGCTGCCCAGCATGGTGAAGAGGTGACAGCAGGTGACAACCCTGCTGGCACCTCTTGGTGGGACAGGGCTGCTGCCCAGCATGGTGAAGAGGTGACAGGAGGTGACAATCCTGCTGGCACCTCTCGGTGGGAATAGGCTGTTGCCCAGCATGGTGAGGAGGTGACAACTCTGCTGGCACCTTTTGGTGGGACAGGGCTGCTGCCCAGCATGGTGGGGAGGTGACAACCCTGCTGGCACCTCTTGGTGGGAAGGATCCCCCAGAGCTCCCCAGAGCACAGCACTGGCTCAGACCACAGGGGACTGCAGGGAGAGGGGCTGGCACCCAAACACAGTGTGACACTGGCTTGAGGGGGTCCCAGGCCTGCAGGGACCCCGTGTGTCAGTGTCACTGTCTCAGGGGGTGACAACCCTGCCTGGATCTTGGGGTGAGAGGAGATTGGTGCCCAGCACGGCCCTGGCTCTGGGGATCCAGCCGGGCTCCCCAGGCTGTCTCTGCCCCTGCGGCACAGCTCCTCACCACCCTCATTACTTTCTCCACCTGCCTCTCTTCAAAGGGCCCTTCCCTGTGCCTGTCCCTGTCCCTGTCCCGGCTTTCCCCCGCCGTCCCCGGGGCCGGGCTGAGTCAGCCGTGGGGCCCGGGGGTGGCAGCAGGACGCGGGGGTGGCAGCAGGACGCGGGGCCGGCCCGGTGACTCTCGGCGTGCCTTGGGCCTGGGTCACAGGCACAGGGTGACTCGCCAGGCGCTTCTTGCTGAGGCGGCAGCAGTTAATAGCAGGGCAATTATGAAGCCGAGGGAATCATCCCAGCCACTCCAGCTGGAGGGCAGCTGAGAGCCCCGGGGTGGCAGCCGTGCCCTGCCCACGCTGGGACCCGGCACTGCCCCAGGGCTGGGGTGGAACTGTCCCTGTCCTTGAGGAGGGAGCAGGACTGGCTCAGCCGGTGTCCAGTGCCCGTCTGGCCGTGGCATGGGGGGTGGCACAAGGCTGGTGCTGAGCCAGGCTGTGCCCTGTGCCCAGGGAAGACCGTGGTGCACCAGCTCTCGGTGTCGCTGGAGGATCTGTACAACGGCTCCACGCGGAAGCTCTCCCTGCAGAAAAACATCATCTGCCGCAAGTGTGGAGGTGAGTGAGGGGCTGCAGGGCCTGGGGGGGCTGCCCCAGCACCCCCTGCCCTACCATCTGACCCTCCACCCCTCTTGGCACAGGCTGTGGGGTGCGGGAGGGCGCCCAGAGGAGGTGCCCCAAGTGCCACGGCTCGGGCATGGAGGTTCGCATCCACCAGCTGGGGCCCAGCATGATCCAGCAGATCCAGACCGTGTGTTCCCAGTGCCAGGGCCAGGGCGAGTGGATCCGGCCCCGCGACTGCTGCCTCACCTGCAACGGCCGCAAGGTCGTGCGGGAGAAGAAGATCCTCAGCGTGCACCTGGATAAAGGTGAGCGGGGCTGGAGGCAAAGCGGGGTCACCCTGTTGGGAAGGGTAGATAAATATGATTAAGAACCATAATAGGACAGGCAGGATGAATATAACGCCCCCACTGGCTGGACAATAACCTTACCTACAGCGGGGTCCAAAAACCAAATGGACTGTTCAATCTCACCCCCCAGAATGTATGGCTCACCCCACACCTGTAACCCTCCCCTGAACCATCAGGTGTCTGTGACCCCATTGGCCCAAGTCCTGTTCCAGCCCACCTTGGAGCCCCCTTTGATAAAGGCTCTCCGGGGGCCTGGACGCCCTCTTGGATCTTCCCCTCTCCTCCTGGAGCGTCCTCCTGGATTCCCTGCTCCCCTCTTTGTCTCTCCCCTCTCCCATCACCTCAGGCCCAGCCACGTGCTGTGTCTGGCAGCTCGAGGCAGGGCCACAATGCATCCTGAATAAACCTCATCCCCAAGAGCAACCACAGAGATCTCGCTTGTATCCGTCCGTGGAATACCAATAAACGTCTTTACATCACCCCAAAGTGCCACGCGGGCTCTGAGCTCCCTCCACTCTCACAGGCATGAAGGACGGGCAGAAAATCACCTTCCACGAGGAAGGGGACCAGGTGCCCGGCCTGGAGCCCGGGGACATCATCATCGTGCTGGATCAGAAGGAACATCCTGTTTTCCGGCGCAGCGGCGACGACCTCATTGTCAGGAGGGAGATCAGCCTGGCAGACGCCCTGTGTGGGTGCCGGCAGGTGATCCGCACCCTGGACAACCGCACCCTGCTCGTGTCCTCCCCGCCAGGTGAGGGGACTCGGGGCTGGGTGACACGCCAGGAGCCGCCAGCGCAGCGGGGTGACCTCCATCTGTCTCTCTCATCACCTCAGGTGACGTGATCCGGCCCGGCGACCTGAAGTGCATCCCCAACGAGGGGATGCCTGTCTACAGGAGCCCCTTTCAGAAAGGAAAACTCATCCTGCAGTTCGAGGTGAGCTCAAGCTGCCATCTCCCACCTCTGGCTTTCCCCAGTGGCCAGCCCACACCTCCCCACACCTCCCACCCTCTCTGTGCCCTCAGGTGAAGTTCCCCGAGCCGGGCTGGCTCCCCGCGGACCGCCTGCGGCAGCTGCAGGCCTTCTTCCCGCCGCAGGAGGAGGTGATGGCCACGGAGGACACGGAGGAGGTGGAGCTCAGCGATTACACAGCTCACGGGGGCCGCCGGCCCTACACCGGAGAGGCGTACCACGAGGATGACTTCGAGGACGGGATGCGGCAGCACGTTCAGTGCCAGACCTCATAGCGGGGGCACACAGGGTAGGGCAGGGCCGGGGAGGGGCTGGCGAGGGGCTGGCGGAGCCACCACCTTCAGGGATGTACATAGGTCGCCTTTCCGACAGCACTTGGAGCCCCCCAGCCCTGCCCTGCCCTGCCCCGGGGTGTTTGGGGGGCGTGGGGTGGGCTCCAGTGCCGGTGGGCACACCCCAGCCCTGGCCAGAAAGGAGGAGGGGGTACCCCATACCTCTGCCTCAGTTTCTCCATCTGCCGTGGTGGGGCCAAGGTGGGGAAGAGGGGAGCTGCCCACCCCTTTGGGGTGCCCCACTGCCAGCCCCACACTCTGGGGGCTGCTGCCCGGACCCCCAGCTCCTTGCTTTGCCCATTTCTTTCCTTACTGGAGCGTGGCTCAGGCCTGGGATGCAGAGGGGGTGGCTCTTTTCTCTTTGCACAGGACAGGAGGGGTTGGGGGGTGGGCCCGTCCCTTCCTTTTAATTTATTTTTGGAAGAATTTTAGAAGGTTTTTTTGTTGGGTTTGTTTTTGGTTTTTGTTGGGTTTTTTTTGGGGGGGGGGGTGTTGACTTTGTACTTGGCATTAAACGCGAATCCCAAACGGGTGTGTGGGGTTGAGCGTGGGGCAGGGTGTGGGGTTGAGCATGGGGCAGGGTGTGGGGTTGAAGTGTGGGGCAGGGTGTGGGGTTGAGCGTGGGGCAGCAGGAGCTCGGGGCCAGGGACTGCCCCGCTTTGATCTGGGGTGTGCCTCAGTTTCCCCATCCTTACACAACCGGGAGCTGCCGGATCCTGCCTTCCCCTGCCCCCGGCTGCTCCCAGCTCCTCCTGCTCCCTCAGGGGAGCACACAGACCCCACCCCTGCCTTTGCCAGCCCCCCCTTGTCCCTCTGTCCCACGGTTTGACCCCATGGATACCCCCAGGCCCTTGTCCTTGTCACTTGTCCAGAACCCACCCCCAGTTACCCTCTGCATCACCTCAGCATCCTGGAGACCCCACAGTGGGGACAAACTCCCCCCAAACAGCTTCAGACCCCCTATCTCAGCCCTGCACTCACCCACAGGAGGTTCCAGCACTGGGCTGCTGAGCTGTTAAGGGGGAAACCCCCAAAAAAATCCCCTACTGGGGGGCCAAGTTGCATCCCATAACCTCCACGTGTGGCTGCTGGACCAGACCCCCCCTCCACCGTGGGATGGGGGTGAAACCCCCCCAGGGGGCTCTGTGGGGTTGGGGTTAGAGGCTCCCCCTGCACTGGAGCCCAGGAAAGCTCCGGCAGCTGCAGCTGGAGGGGGAGAGGAGGAGGAGGAGGAGGAGGAGGAGGAGGAGGAGGCAGCAGAACAATGCTGGCCGGCCGCCAGCCGAGGGGAGTGGGGGGGAAGGGGGGCGCTCCGGGCACAGGGAGGTGACAGTCGCTGTCCCCCGGGGCTCGCCACGCCTTGCTGAGCCACCCCGAGCCGTGGGGACACCCCCGGGGACACGCGTGGCACCCCAGTTAGCTGCCCCCCTCAGGGGCAGGGGATCTGTGCCATGTGCCAGAGCCCACCCGCGTGATGCCCCAGCAGGGTCCCCAGGCTTGTCACACACCCACAGACCCCTCGGCTCAGGGGGATTTTTGGGGGGACGATGCCCACCAGCCACCCCAGGGTGGGCTCCGAGCTGGGCAGCGACCGGCCCGGAGGGTGGGGGGTGACCAGGGGGTGACCCCAACCCTTGTGGGGCACAGTTTGGGGGGTCCCTTCGCAGGGGATGTGTGTGGGGGTACCGGCAGCGGAGCGGGGTGGCCCCCCAAACCTGCCTGACGTGTCCTGTCCCTCTGTCTGTCCCTGCAGGGCAGGAACCAGCACATCCCCCCGGTTCAGGCAGATCGGAGCCCCCCGCTCCCTCCCGATGGCTCCGGGGCAGGGGGGGGATGAGATTCATCTCCCCCACACCCAACCCGAGCTCTGCTTCCAGGGAATGCGCGGAAAAATTCCGGGGTGAGGGGCCAGGGCCCCCCAGGGTCGGGCATTCATTCCCGGCGCACAGAATGGGGAGGGGGCCGGGGCCCGCTTTGTCTCGGGAGATGAAAGGCGAGGGGCCAGCCCGACCCCTCCTCACCCACCCGGGGGCCAACCCGACCCCCTCCCCACCCGGGGGGCAACCCGACCCCCTCCCCAGCCGGGGGGCAACCCGACCCCTCCCCAGCCCCGGGGGCCAACCCGACCCCTCCCCACCCACCCGGGGCCAGCCCGACCCCTCCTCACCCGGGGCCAGCCCGACCCCTCCCCAGCCCGACCCCTCCCCACTCGGGGGGCAGCCCGACCCCCTCCCCACCCGGGGGCCAGCGGGGTCACCGGGGAGGATTAGTGCCGCATTAGAGGCGCCGCGGACCTCGCCACCACCCACGCGGAGCCGTGGGAGGGGGGCACGGCCATGCGGACCAGTTTTGGGGTTCTCCCACCCCCCCTCCTCATCTCCGCACGGAGGAATTTGCTTTTGTTCCCAGAGCAGCGGTGCTGTGGGGAGGGGGCAACACCCAGAGCCCCCACAGACCCCTCCCCATCCAGCCGTGCCCCCCCAACTCTCGGGGTCCCGGAGCCCCCCCAGTGACCCCCCAGCCCCAGGGCCGGCGGGGAAAGCGGATATTCCTCCAGGGAGCGGAGCCCCCGCAGCCGGGGGGCGGCCGGACCCCATCCCCGCCGCTCCCGGGGGCTCCGGGGCCGCTCGGTGAAGTGGGGAGGGGGTCGCGTCCCGTGCCCACCCTCGGGAGAGCCGGGACAGGACCCTGGGAACGGTGCCAGGGAGATGGGCACATGCCAAGTGCCACCTGGAGATACCGGAGCCTTCCTCCCCCTTCCCCTCCTCCTCCTCCTCCCCAGGGAAGGTGTAATTCCACCCTCGCCGCTCCTGGAAGAGCTCCGGGGGTGCGGGATCGCATCCCGGGCGTGGGGGTACCGCCAACCCCGAGCCCTGGTTCCCCTCTCCATCCCCCATCCCCGCTCCGTGGGGCGGTGCCCCCCACCTGCCCCACAGCGGGAGCACCCCAAACCTCGAGGCAGGGGCAGTCCTGCACCCCAAACCTCGAGGCAGGGCAGGATCACCCCAAACCTCGAGGCAGGGCAGGAGCACCCCAAACCTCCCCACACTTCCCTGGTATCCTGAGCTAATTAATGCCACCCCACGCAGGGCAATTATGGGGCAGCCCGATAATTAATAACCCACAGGTGCTCCCGGCCGGGGTCTCACGCGTCCCAACCCCACGCTGCCCCACAGTCACCCCACGGTCACCCCACAGTCACCCCGGAGTCACCACCTGCTTCCCACGCGGGATGTGCCACCCCGGCTGCCGCCCTCGCCCCCGGCCCCTTGCGCAACGGAGGGGGTGTGGGGCACGGGGTGTGGGATCGGGATTTGGGATTTGGGGTGCGGGATCCAGGGTGTGGGATCTGGATTTGGGGTGCAGGATGCAGGTGTGGGATCTGGATTTGGGATGTGGGGTGCAGGATCCAGGGTGTGGGATCTGGATTTGGGGTGCAGAATACCCAGTGTAGGATTTGGGGTGTAGAATCTGGGTTGTGGAATCTGGAGTGTGGGATTTGGGGTGCAGGATGCAGGGTGTGGGATCTGGATTTGGGATTTGGGGTGCAGGAGCCAGGGTGTGGGATTTGGGGTGCAGGATCTAGAATGCAGAACCTGGTATGTGGGATCCACAGTCCCGGGGTGTGGGATCTGGGGTGCAGAATACCCAGTGCGGGATTTGGGGGTGGGATTTGGGGTGCAGGATCCAAGGTGTGGAATCCAGGCTATGGGATTTGGGGGTGCAGAATACCCAGTGTGGGATTTGGGGTGTAGAATCAGGGGTGAAGGATTCAGGCTGTGGGATTTGGGGTGCAGGATCTAGAACCCGGGATGTGGGATCCGCGTGCCCGTGGGGCCGGGAGGAGAGACAGGGACCCCACGGGGTGTCCACAGGAGATTTATTGCGGAAGGAGGAGGGAACAGAGCGAAGTTGGACCCTGTGGGGTGCTGGCAGCTGGCACTGCCCCAGGCTGCGGCTTTGGGGTGCCCCTCTGGTGCCATAGTCACAAATAAATACTGGGGAGGGGTCGCGGGGCCCATCCCGCTGCCCCCGGGGGACCCCACCCTGCAGAGGGAGGGAAACCCGCGTGGGTGCCCCCCCAAAAAAGGGGGTTCGCTGCTGTACCCCCCCCACACACCCACCCCGGGGGGATGCAGCGCCCTCCCCGTGGCCGGGGGTGAGTGTGGGGGGCTGAGGGGTGGGGGAGGGGGGATATGGGGGTGGGGGCCTGTTGGGGGTGGGGGTCACTCCCGGATGTAGACCCTGGTGCACACCACATCGTCCGCCGTCATGGTCTGCAGGGACAGCGGGTGGGGGGTGGGTGAGGGGCGCGGCCCATCCCAGAGCGCTCCGAGGGAGTTTCCAGCGGGCAGCGCTGCGCCCGCACCCCCATATCTCCCCTTTATCCCCCCTTTATCCCCCCATATCCCTCCGCATCCCCCCATATCCCCCGCATCCCCCCAACCCCCGCATCCCCCCTCATCCTGCATCCCCCCACATCTCCCCTCATCCCCCCGCATCCCTCGCATCCCCCATATCCCCCACATCCCCCTGTACCACCCCATATCCCCCCTTCATCCCCCCATATTCCCCACATCCCCCATATCCCCTGCATCCCCCCCCAACCCCCGTATCCCCCCGCACCCCCTGCATCCCCCTGCACCCCCGGCATCCCCCCACATCTCCCCTCATGCCCCGCATCCCGCCACATCCCCCCATATCCCCCCTTTATCCCCCCATATCCCCCGAATCCCCCTCATCCTGCATCCCCCCATATCCCCCCGCATCCCCCCGCACCCCCCGCATCCCACTGTACCCCCCCATATCCCCCCGCACCCCCCTCATCCTCCTGCATCCCCCACATCCCCCTGTGCCCCCCCATATCCCCCGTATCCCTCCCATCCTCCGCATCCCCCTGCACCCCCCCATAGCCCCCGCATCCGCCTCATCCTCCCGCATCCCCCCACATCTCCCCTCATCCCCTGCATCCCCCCAACCCCCGAATCCCCCCCAACCCCCGTATCCCCCATATCCCCCCGCATTCCCCCACATCCCCCCGCACCCCCGCACCCCCACATCCCCCCCGCACCCCCGCCCCTCACCAGGATGAGTTCCCCGTCGCTGCTCATCTCCCGGGCCCAGCCGGTTTTGGGCCCGTCCCCCCTGAGCAGCCGCTGCTCACAGACCATCTTCTTCTCGCTCTCCCACCGCGCCAGGCTCTGGGGGGCACGGGGGGCACCGCCGGGTGGGCACCTGGGCACCCCTGGGCACCCCCGGGCACCCCCGGGCACCCCCCGGGCACCCCCCGGCACCCCCGGGCACAGGGAAGGGTTTGGGGGCACGGGGAGGGGGTTTGGGGGCACGGGGAGGGGATGGGGGCACAGGAGCCAGGGTGTGAGATCTGGATTTGGGGTGCAGGATTCAGGGTGTGGGATCTGGATTTGGGATTTGGGGTGTAGAATCAGGGGTGTGGAATCTGGAGTGTGGAATTTGGGGTGCAGGATGCAGGGTGTGGGATCCAGGCTGTGGGATTTGGGGGTGCAGAATCTGGGGTGAAGGGGGCACAGGGAAGGGTTTGGGGGCACACAGAGGGGTTTGGGGGCACGGGGAGGGGTTTGGGGGCACTGGGAAGGGGTTTGGGGGCACACGGAGGGGGTTTGGGGGCACGGGGAGGGGGTTTGGGGGCACAGGGAGGGGGTTTGGGGGCACAGGGAAGGGTTGGGGGACACAAGGAGGGGATGATGGCCCAGGGAAGGGGTTTTGGGGCACAGGGAGCGGATGGGGGCACAGGGAGGGGGTTTGGGGGCACAGGGAGGGGATGATGGCACTGGGAAGGGGTTGGGGGGCACTGGGAAGGGGTTGGGGGGCACACGGAGGGGATGATGGCACTGGGGAGGGGTTTGGGGGCACGGGGAGGGGGTTTGGGGCACGGGGAGGGGGTTTGGGGGTTTGGGGGCACAGGGAAGGGTTTGGGGGCACACAGAGGGGGTTGGGGGTACAGGGAGGGGTTTGGGGGCACAAGGAGGGGATGATGGCACTGGGAAGGGGTTCGGGGCACTGGTGAGGGGTTGGGGGGCACTGGGAAGGGGTTGGGGGCACTGGGAAGGGTTTGGGGGGCACAAGGAGGGGACGATGTCCCAGTGAAGGCTCGGGGGCACAGCGGAGGGGTCCCACTCCCACTTTCACACCCACCCACCATCTCCCACCCACTCCCACCCCCCACACCCGCCTGCAGCACCCCTGGGTGCCCCTGACCCACCTTGCAGGGCCGCCCATCCACCGTCTGCTCCTCGAACTCCTCTCCCACCCTGAAGCGGATCTCGGTGGTGCGCACGGGGGTGGAGGTGCGGATGTAGAAACTCTCCCCGTCCTGTCGGATCTCCACCGCCGGTTTGGCCGCCGCCGCCACCGCGATCTTGCGCAGCATCACGTTCACCCCTGCGGACGGGCACGGTGGCACCGGGGACATCGGCGTGACACACCCCGGGGTCCTGCCAGCCCTGCAGGTGGCTCTGGGAGAGCCGAGGGGGGACGGACGACCCCCCCCTGAAAACCGCTGGGCCACATCTGGCTCTCGTTACCTGCCCGGGGGTGACAGCGGGGACAAGGACCGCGGTGCCAGCTCTGCCTTAAGCGACCTCCGTGACCCCCACACCCACCCGAGGGGTCCCGCAGCCCCCCGCGGGGCACCGGGGCTTTGTCCCCGCTCCAGAGGCCGCTCATCCATCAGGGCCGGCAGCCCCTGGTTGTCACTCTTTGGGGACATTGTTCCCGTGTCACCCTCGGGGGGTGGATGAACCCCCCCAGAGGCCCCCCCGGCTGTCACTCTTTGGGGACATTGTTCTCGTGTCACCCTCGGGGGGTGGCTGAGCCCCCCAGAGGCCCCCGGCACAAAAGGGGGGACACAGAGGGGTCCAGGAGTTGAACCCCCCTGGCGTGGGAAGGGTCACGTCCCTCAGGGGTCCCCTCGGTGGTCACGCCGAGTCCCCACGAGCACCCCCAGGTCTGATTCCCACCCCAAAGCGGGGCACACACAGCCCCCCGCGTGATGCTGAGGGGGTGGGGGATAAAACAGCCCCCAAAGGGAGTGAAACAAAGGTTTGGGGGGTCTGGGGTGGTCAGCGTGGGGGGATGGAGATCATCAAGCCCCCAGACCCACGAGGGGACAGCCGGGGGGAGCCCCCACTTGTGCCGTGGGGAGGGAAAAGGGCTCCGGGGGGGCGGCAGATTTTTTTCCTGAGTTTTTCCCCGATCCGGTTCCATCAGCGGGGCCGGGGCGGGGAGAAGGGGCGATGGGAGATCGGCAGTGAAACCCAAGAAAGTGATAATTATCCTGAAATATTCGTTACGTATCCCCTAAGCTGGAAAATATTCCTGCTCCGGCAGTTCCCCGCCTGGGTCAGGCGGAGGGGAGCAGTGGGGGAGATGGATTTGATCCTGCCCAAAGCCCCGGGGACACCCCCCAGGCCGGTGCCCCCCCAAATTCCAGCCCCACCGTGAGTCCTGACCCTCCCCACGCGCTCAGCCGAGACCCACCCGCGCCGTGGGGGGAAAGGGGATCGAGATGAGGGCTGGGAGAGTGGGACCCTAAAACAACGGGGTGCTGCCTGCGATGGGTTTGGGGACAGCGGCTGTTCCCTGGGGCAGGTGAGCTTTGGGGATGGGGGCAGAGGGGTAGGGAAACTGAGGCAGGAGCGGGACACGCTGCCCGACCCCCCCCGTGCCTCCGGTTCCTCAGTGGGGCACCGAGCACGAGAATTTGGCTAAAAGGGGGAGCAGAGGGATCCCCCCGCACACGGCGGTCCGGGCACCGGAGAGGATTTGGGGGGGATTTGGGGGGGAGATGAGATGGGGGGAGATGGGGGGACCCCCCCTCGCCCCCAACCCGAGGGAATCCCGCGGAGGGAGAACGGGAATCACTCACCCAACGCCTTCAGCAGCTCCTCGAAGTTTTCCGAGCTCTTCATCTTCCAATTCCCGGAGAAATTTGGCATCGCGGCTGCAGGGAGGGGACTGAGAGGGGGGCAATAAACGGTTCGAGGGATCCGCCGCTCCCTCGGTACCGGCTCCGTCCGTCCGTCCGTCCGTCCGTCCCGCCCGCGCCGCCGTTTTTATCGCCGGGATGGTCCCACCCCCCGTCCGCGGCCCCGGCCCGGGGGCTCCGCGCTCACCTGCGGCCCCAGAGCCCACGGGGAGCCCCCCAAACTCCTCCCATCCCCCCCAAAACTCCTCCCATCCCCCCGAGATCCGCGCCCCGCGCTCCCCACGGGGCTCCCCCTAATCACCAGCACCCCCCAAACTGCCTGCACCCCACATGTGCTGCACCATCCCCAAATCTGTACCCCCCCCACAGCTGCGTGCACCCCCAAATCTCCCCGCACCCCCCGAGTGTGCACAGCACACGCGTGTTTGCACACTCAGATGCTGGCACGCGCGTGTGCAGGTGCCGCTTGCACACGCGTGGATTTTTACCCCACGGCTTTCCCAGCCACTCACAAACTTCCCCGCAAAATCAGCCACCGAATCAGCGAGTCACGCCCGTGTCCGCGCACACGCGTGGGGGTGGGTGAGCTGCCGGGGGCAGGTGGAAGTTCTGTCCCAGCCAGGTAAGAGCACTCAGGGATTTCCCAGCCGCTTCTGGGCGAGAAAAGCCAGAAATGGCGTTTCTGCTTCAGCAGGAGCTGTGCAATGGAAGGAGGGAGGTTTCTCCTCCGATTTGGGGTGAAAAGGCCCCACGGAGCCCCCCGTGGGCCCCCTCCTCATTGCCACATCCCCCCCCCCGTGCCCCCAGAAGCTCCGGTTGGGGTCAAGTCGCGGCTTGCCGCATCCCTAATCCCCTGAAGAACAGGAATTCTCAGCCGGCGCTGACACAGCCTCACCTCCAGCAGCGCCGGGGCCGTGCCCAGGGGACAGCGACAGGGCCGGGCAGGGCTGGGGGGCTCGGGGGGGAGGAGGTCACTCCAACCCGGGAGTCACAGGAGGGGCGGTGCTCTAAATCTGGGGGAAATGGGGGGAAAAAATAATAATAAAAAAGCATCTCCATTCCATAAGTGAGCGGAGGGGTTTGGGGTGGGATCTGCCTGCAAATCCCACAGGGGCACCCCCGGTCCGTGCTGGCACCACGAGGCAGTGGGGTATGAGCACCGGCAGCCCCACATCTGGAAGGGATTCTGCAAGGAAGGGCGGATAAAAAAACCTCTTTGCACCGCACCCTCCTCTCCCTCCCATCCTGGTGAAGCCCTGCGGCGAGCAGGAGAACCACCGGCCCTAAATCACCCCCCCGAGCACCGCTCGGCCCTGGGAAGGGCACGGATGCCCTGTGCCAGGCTCAGCCTCCCCAAACACCCACCACCACCCACCGCCCGCACCCCCTTCCCGGCCAAAATCCTCCCAAACCGCACAAATCCCGAGTGCAAACTCCGGGGGGCTCCCCCAAACCGGGCAGGGCTTCATCGCTGCCCCGGTACCCCCGTGGAGCCCCCAAAAATCACCGTCGTGCCCCACAGCCCCTCCTGGGAGGATGGGGCTGCTTGGGGATGGATGTCCCCCCACCCGGGAGGGGGTGTGGGGTACCCTCACCCCATAGAGGAGCCAAAGCTGTTTGGGGTCACCCCAATGTGGGGTGACAGCTTTGGGGTCAGATTTGTCCCCGCAAATCCATCGCAGCTGGCGGGACGCAGCCCCCACCCCCCCCGCCCCCGGCCACGGCCACGGCCGCTGCGGAAATGAAACGCAGATGGACGGCGAGACCGAGCCCGGCCCCGGCCCCGCGGCCCGTGGGACCCCCGGCTGGGGGGCGGGAGGGGGCCCGCGTGTCCCGAGAGCTCGGCTGTGCCCCACAGCGGGACCCCGGCCCGGCCCGGGACCTTTATACAGCGCCAGGACCTGCCCTGGGTCTGGATTCAGCTCCAGGACCTGCCTTAGCTCTGGACCTTTACACAGCACCAGGACCTGCCCTGGTTCTGGACCCCGTTCCAGGACCTGCCCTGGTTCTGGACTCAGCTCCAGGACCTGCCCTGGTTCAGGACCTTTACACAGCACCAGGACCTACCCTGGTTCTGGACCTTTACACAGTTCCAGGACCTGCCCTGGTGCTGGACCTTTACACAGCTCCAGGACCCTTCCGTGATTCTGGACCCAGTTCCAGGACCCTGCCCTGGGTCTGGACTCAGTTCCAGGACCTGCCCTGGTTCTGGACCTCTACACAGCTCCAGGACCTGCCCTGTCCTGGGACTTCTCCTCAGTTCCAGGACCCTGCCATGGTTCCAGACCCAGTTCCAGGACCCTGCCCTGGTTCTGGACCCTTACACAATTCCAGGACCCTGCCCTGGTTCCGGACCCAGTTCCAGGACCCTGCCCTGGTTCTGGACCTTTACACAGCACCAGGACCTGCCCTGGTTCCGGACCCAGTTCCAGGACCTGCCCTGGTTCTGGACCTTTACACAGCACCAGGACCGTTCCGTGATGCTGGACTTTACACACCGCCAGGACCTGCCCTGGCTCTGGATTCAGCTCCAGGACCCTGCCCTGATTCTGGACCTTACACACTTCCAGGACCTGCCCTGGCCCAGGACCTCTACTCAGCTCCAGACCCCTGCCATGGATTTGGACCCCTGCTCAGCTCCAGGACCCTTCTGTGATTCTGGACCCAGCTCCAGGACCCTCCCCTGGTTCTGGACCTTTACACAATTCCAGGACCCTGCCCTGATTCAGGACCCAGTTCCAGGACCCTGCCCTGGTTCCAGACCCTTACACAGCTCCAGGACCTGCCCTGGTTCCGGACCCTGATCCAGCCCAGCCCCACGCGGAGGGACCCCGGGGTGAGTTGCAGCGCTGCCCCGGGACCCTGCCCCGCATCCCGCATCCCGCACCCGCATCCCGCATCCCGCACCGCCGGGGCCGGGGCCCGCCCGGCTGCTTCTCATTTCCAGGGCCATAAACCCCTTTGAGGACCGACCATTTATAACGGCTGTAAACCCTTAATCGCCGCCAGACCGGCCCAGACACAAAAGGCTCCTCCGCCCTCCCACCTCCCTCTGCTTTTTGGGCTCTGACAGCTTTTCCCACCCCCACCCGGGCCACAGGGACGGGAGCAGGAGGGATGAACCCCCCAAAACCCCCCAAAAACCCCCCAAAACCCCTCGGCCCGTGTGTATTCGCTCTGCAGCACTGCGGGGGGACCCAGACCCTCCTAAAAAAAGGAGGTTGTACCCCCCAAAAACCCTCCCTCGGGTTCCAGCGTCTCGAACCAAACGCAGCCACGGAAAGACGAGGAAATGTTGGAAAAAGTGACGCACCGGGGGCTCGGCACCGGTACCGGCAACACCGGGGAGCCCTTCCAGGCAGAAAAAGGGGTGCGGGGGGTCGGGGAAGGGGCAAATTCGTCAGGAAGAAGAGGAGGAGGAGGAGGAAGAGCCCACGGGACAGATGTGGGAGGGTGCCGGTTGATGGCCCGGTAAGGGACCCCCCATCCCATCCCCCGCTCCCGCCCACCGGGGCCGGGGGCTCCTCCCCGCCGCCAGCGAAGGGAAAAGCTCTTCAATCATTTCTTTTTAATTAGATTTTTGCACATAAACCTTTCAGTTCAAAGCGGCTCCCGGCAAGGCTCGGGCACCGTTGAGGTTCCGGGGGTGTCCCCCCGGGGCAGCGCGGGGGGCTCGGGCAGGGGGATGGGGTCTCGCCGTGCCCGGGTTTGTGCCGCCCGAACTTCACCGATTAAAGATTTCACAGAGGGATGTGAACGCCAGCGGCAGCTCCCGCCGCTGCCAGAGGTAGTTCTGTCCATCCCCAACGCCCCAGGGATGGGGGCTGAGCTCAGGATGCCCCAAAGGCACTCCCAGATCAGGAGCAGCAGCAGCTCCGAAGTGTTCGGGGGGTGAAGAACCCCACAGACCCCTCTGGGGGAAGGCACCGGCCCAGAGCCTCCACAGGTCCTGGGGGCAGCGGGGCAGAACCCCTCAAAGTCAGGACCAGGTTGGGGGGCATCACTTTGGGTCCCCCCCAGAGGGAGAACCAGGCTGGGGGTGTCACTTTGGGTCCCCCCCAGAGGCAGGACCAGGCTGGGGGTGTCACTCTGAGCCCCCCCAGAGGCAGGACCGGGCTGGGGGGCATCACTTTGGGTCCCCTCAAAAGCAGGACCAGGCTGGGGGTGTCACTCTGAGCCCCCCCAGAGGCAGGACCGGGCTGGGGGTGTCACTGTGGGTCCCCAAAAGGCAGGACCAGGCTGGGGGTGTCACTGTGGGTCCCCCCAAAGGCAGGACCAGGCTGGATGTGTCACTGTGGGACCCCCCAAAGTCAGGACTGGGCTGGGGGTGTCATTCTGAGCCCCCCCAGAGGCAGGACCGGGCTGGGGGTGTCACTCTGAGCCCCCCCCAAAGTCAGGACCAGTCTGGGGGTGTCAGTCTGAGCCCCCCCAGAGGCAGGACCGGGCTGGGGGTGTCATTCTGAGCCCCCCCCAAAAGCAGGACTGGGCTGGGGGTGTCACTCTGAGCCCCCCCAGAGGCAGGACCGGGCTGGGGGTGTCACTCTGAGCCCCTCAAAGGCAGGACTGGGCTGGGGGGCATCACTTTGGGTCCCCCCCAGAGGCAGGACCGGGCTGGGGGTGTCACTCTGAGCCCCCCAAAGTCAGGACCGGTCTGGGGGGCATCACTTTGGGTCCCCTCAGAGGCAGAACCGGGCTGGGGGTGTCACTCTGAGCCCCCCCAGAGGCAGGACTGGGCTGGGGGTGTCACTGTGGGTCCCCACAGAGGCAGGACCGGGCTGGGGGTGTCACTTTGGGTCCCCCCAAAGGCAGGACCAGGCCAGGAGTGTCACTCTGAGCCCCCCCAAAGGCAGGACCGGGTTGAGGGTGTCACTTTGGGTCCCCCCAGAGGCAGGACTGGGCTGGGGGTGTCACTTTGGGACCCCCCAAAGGCAGGACCAGGCTGGGGGTGTCACTTTTGGTCCCCTCAAAGGCAGGACCAGCCCAGGAGTGTCACTCTAAGCCCCCCCAGAGGCAGGACCGGGCTGTGGGTGTCACTGTGGGTCCCCCCAGAGGAAGAACCAGGCTGGGGGTGTCACTCTAAGCCCCCCCAGAGGCAGGACCGGGCCGGGGGTGTCACTCTGAGCACCCCAGGGTGTCACTTCTGCTCCGGGTTCTGCTGCAGGTGCTGCTCCCACTCATCCTCCACCAACTTGTAGAGCTCCATGGTGGCTCGGGCATCTTCCACCGAGGAGTGGCCGCTTTTCCCCACCTGTGGGCACAGACACACGTCACCACAGCTCCCATTTTTTGGGGGGGGCAGCCAGAATTGGGAGGGATATACAGAGATTAGGGAGTGCAGGCAGCACCCAGCAAGGATGGGGGGGGGATGCAGGGAGATGAGGGTGTGCAGGAAGATTTGGGGTGCATGATTTGGGGTGGATTAGGGCATATGGGCAGCTCCAGGGGGCTGCAGGCAGGTTGGGTGGGCAGATGCAGGGAGATGAGGGGGTGCAGGAAGATTTGGGGTGCACGATTTGGGGTGGATTAGGGCATATGGGCAGCTCGGGTGGGCAGATGCAGGGAGATGAGGGGGTGCAGGAAGATTTGGGGTGCATGATTTGGGGTGGATTAGGGCATATGGGCAGCTCCGGGGGGCTGCAGGCAGGTTGGGTGGGCAGATGAGGGGGTGGCAGGGGTGCAGGCAGATTTGGGAGGGTACAGGAAGCTCTGGGGGGATGCAGGGAGTTTAGGGGAGTATAGGGAGATTTAAGGATGCAGAGAAAACTGGGGAGGTGAAGGAAACACTGTGGGGTGTCCATAAAGGAAAAAAAACCTCTGAGGTTGCAGGGGTTGAGCTGAAGGAAGGGAAACTGAGGCACAGCGCAGCCTTGCCCCAGCGTTCCTGGGATCTCCCCCCTTCCCTCCCCACCGCCTCCCGGCCCGGTTTTGGGGTTCCCGGGGCACCTGGATGTCCTGGTTGAGCAGGGCCTTGGTGAGGCGCTTGAGGGACACGGCCACGTTCTCGGGGAAGCCGGCGCGGCGGTTCAGCAGCGGGATCTGCGCCGTGTCCCGCGTCAGCGCCCTGGGGTGGCAGTAGCGCAGCGCCTTGAAGTCGTTGTGGATGGCGTGGCCCACCACCACCTTCCCGGCCAGGAGCCTCAGAACCTGCAGCACAGCAGGGGGATGAGCCCCAGGGACAGTTCCTGTGCCCCCCGGACAGTCCCTGTGCCCCATTGGGCAGGGCAGGGACAATCCCTGTGCCCCAGGGGACAATCCCTGTGCCCCAAGGACAGTCCCTGTGCCCCACAGGGCACGGCAGGGACAATCCCTGTGCCCCAAGGACAGTTCCTGTGCCCCACAGGACATGGCAGGGACAATCCCTGTGCCCTGGGGACAATCCCTGTGCCCCACAGGGCAGGGCAGGGACAATCCCTGTACCTTGGGGACAATCCCAGTGCCCCACAGGGCAGGGCAGGGACAATCCCTGTGCCCCAAAGACAATCCCTGTGCCCCAAGGACAATCCCTGTGCCCCAGGGACAATCCCTGTGCCCCAAGGACAGTTCCTGTGCCCCACAGGGCAGGGCAGGGACAGTCCCTGCACCCCAAGGACAGTTCCTGTGCCCCATGGGGCAGGGCAGGGACAATCCCTGTGCCCCAAGGACAGTTCCTGTGCCCCATGGGGCAGGGCAGGGACAGTCCCTGTGCCCCAAGGACAGTTCCTGTGCCCCATAGGGCAGAGTGGGGACAGTCCCTGTGCCCCAAGGAACAATCCCTGTGCCCCACAGGGCAGGGCAGGGACAGTCCCTGTGCCCCACAGGGCATGGCAGGGACAAACCCTGTGCCCCAAGGACAATCCCCGTACCTTGGGGACAATCCCTGTGCCCCAAGGACAATCCCCGTACCTTGGGGACAATCCCTGTGCCCCACAGGGCATGGCAGGGACAGTCCCTGTACCTTGGGGACAATCCCTGTGCCCCAGGGACAATCCCTGTGCCCCAAGGACAGTTCCTGTGCCCCACAGAGCAGAGCAGGGACAGTCCCTGTACCTTGGGGACAATCCCTGTGCCCCAGGGACAGTTCCTGTGCCCCATGGGGCAGGGCAGGGACAATCCCTGTACCCCAAGGACAATCCCTGTGCCCCACAGGGCAGTTCCTGTGCCCCACAGGGCAGGGCAGGGACAGTCCCTGTGCCCCACAGGGCATGGTAGGGACAATCCCTGTGCCCCACAGGACACAAGCCCTGCAGCCCCCCACCCATCTCCTCACCCTGCAGCCACCCCCTCCCACCCCTGGACTCCCACCCTCGGCCCCACAGCCCCCCACCCCATATCCCCACAGCCCCCTAACCAATATCTCCTGTCCCAAATGCCCCCCGCTCCATATCCCATGTCCCCACAGCCCCCACCCCACATCCCCTGTCCCCAGTGCCCCCCACCCCATATCCTGTGTCCCCAATGCCCCCCAATATCCTGTGTCCCCAGTGCCCCACACCCCATATCCCTTGTCCCCACATCCCCCACCCCATATCCCATATCCCCACAGCCCCCACCCCATATCCCCCCGTCCCCAATGCCCCCCAATATCCTGTGTCCCCACAGCCCCCACCCCACATCCCCTGTCCCCAGTGCCCCCCGCCCCACATCCCCACAGCCCCCACCCCATATCCTGTCCCCACAGCCCCCACCCCATCTCCCGTGTCCCCAGCGCCCCCCATCCCACATCCCTGTCCCCAATGCCCCACACCCCATATTCCTTGTCCCCACAGCCCCCACCCCATATCCCCCTGTCCCCAATGCCCCCCAATATCGTCTGTCCCCAGCGCCCCCCACCCCACACCCCCTGCCCCCAGCACCCCCCAACACCCCCCAATACCCCCGTGCCCCCCACCTCTCTCTGTGCCCTGCGGAAGGGCACGGCGCTGTCCATGTGCTGCCGGCGGATGCCGCTCCAGCGGGTCCGGTAATCCACGATGGGCGCCTCGGGCCGCACGTACCGGTCGTACATCACGTCCCCTCCGTAGCTCACGATGCTGCACCGGGCCAGGGCGCTGGTCCGGCCACCGGGCCCGGTGCCCACCATCTCACAGTCCATGGCCACCAGCTTGGGGGGCACCGGGGGGGCACCGGGAGCCGCCCCCCGAGCCTTCCGGGGCTGGGAAACCGGGGGGACTCCGCCAGCACCGGCCCCCCGACCCTTCCGAGGCTGGGAAACCGGGGCGGCTCCGCCAGCACCGGCCCCCGGAGCCTTCCGTGGCTGGGAAACCGGGGGGGCTCCGCCAGCACCGGCCCCCCGACCCTTCTGGGGCTGCGATACCGGCGGGGCTCCGCCAGCACCGGCTCCCCGAGCCTTCCCCGTTGTTGTCGCACCGGTGGTACCGTTCTCCTTGGGGCACCGGCGTGGTTTTGGCCGCGATCGCTGTCCCGGTTTGGCCGGGAGCTGTTTCTGCCGCAGGACCCCGCGGCGCTCCAGCTCCCGCCGCCGCCGCACGAAGCGTTGGTGCTTTCGGTTCCCCGGTTCCTTCTGCGGCCGCGGCTCCGGAGCGCCGAAATCCACGTTGAGGATCAGATCGTCCATGGTGGAGGCACAGCGGTACACCGGGGTGGCTGCGGGGAGGAGAGGAGGCTCAGCGCCGGGGCCAGCGGTACCGGGAACCACCGGGAACCCGGGACTGGAGACCCCCGGTAATCCCCGACCCCCGGGACGCCGGTACCGGAGACCCCCGGGACTCCCGGTAATCCCCGACCCCCGGGACCCCGGTATCGAAAACCCCCGGGACTCCCGGCCCCGGTAATCCCCGACCCCCGGAACCCCCGGCAATCCCCAACCCCCGGGACCCCGGTACCGAAAACCCCCGGGACTCCCGGTACCGGCAATCCCCGGCCCCCGAGACCCCGGTAACGGTAATCCCCGACCCCCGGGACCCCGGTACCGGAGACCCCCGGGACTCCCGGTACCGGCAATCCCCGACCCCCGGGACCCCGGTACCGGCAATCCCCGACCCCCGGGACTCCCGGCCCCGGCAATCCTCGACCCCCGGGACCGGAGACCTCCCGGGACTCCCGGTAATCCCCGACCCCCGGGACCCCGGTATCGGAGACCCCCGGGACTCCCGGTACCGGAGAAACCCCCGGCACCCACCGGCACCTCCGCGTCCCGGAACCGGAAGTTCCCGTGAAACACGCGGCCCTCGCGGTACCGGCAGTGACGTCATCCAGGCGCGCCGCGGCGGGAACTCGGCGGCGGCGGGGCGCGCGCGCGGTCGCGGCGGCGGCTCCGTGACGCGACCGATGACGTCACTATGACGTAATTATCGATGACAAAGTGACGTCACGGGCACCCGGGGGTGAGTGGCGCCCGTGGGGGACGCGGTGGGGGGGGGGGTGTATAACAGCCGCGTGACGTCATGGCGTGACGTCACTGCCCGGTGACGTCACGCGGGTGCTGAATGGCGCGGGCACGGGGTGAGAGTGGCGGTGGAACAAAATTTTGGGGTTCACTCAAGTGAACAGAATGAACGAAGCGTTTCTATCCCAGCGTGTAGGGTTATGAGTTATATTTTAACCTTTTACTTAAGAAAGCTCTGCCACGGTACAAAAATGCAAATTTCTGACGCTCCTTGCGTAAAGAACAATACCAGAAAGGATAGAGAATACCAGAATACAGTACCAAAAGATATAAAAAACCCAGATAAAGCGGCTCCTCTGTCCCCAATCCTACCAAGACTCACAGATGTACTCAGATAAACACCAAAACACCAAAAGCACACGCACAGAAGAGTTCAAAAGTTAAACCATGAGGAAGACCACGATCTTCAGCCTCCAGAGACCACCAGGGACCCCCGTGGGACCACCACAGCAAACCACAGTGCCTAAATAGGGCGTGAACCTATTGAGCATGAGAGGCAAGGACAGGCTGGGCCAGGGGTTGGATATGCATAGAAAAGTTGTGTCATTTATGACATGTGGAACACCTTTGTGAGTAAAGGAGTGGGTCAGACTGAGGCTCGGGGCACGAGTTTTTCTATTACCTGTATTAAATGGTGCTTTTCTATCTTTTATATGGTACATTCCGTGTTACATGGGTACAGTTTGTCCCCAATGCCCATTACCTATATTAAATGGTGCCTTTCTACTCTAAACCAGTCTGGGAGTGCCAACATCACCAAGAACATGGAGGTGAGGAAGGAGAAAGAGGGAGGACAGGGCAGGCCCAAATCCCTCCATCTTAAAACCAAAACCCCCATGTACAAAACCAAAACCCCCCTGTACAGCACTCAAAAATTCTTCCCTTTACTTTGTGACTACTTCTACTATAATATCTAAATTTTGTGACTTTCTGTTCTTCCTGCAAGGTTGGTAAATCATTCCATGGCTCAAACCCAAAATCACAGCTGTTTCCAGCTGCCTGCCAGGGTCTCAAATGCTTCTGAGCTGGACCCAGAACATCCAAAAATGTCTGAGGGACATTTTGAGTTGCTGTGGAGGCTGTTTATTTATTCTGTGTATCGTTTCCCCAGGGTGAGGCCGCAGAGCAGAGCCATGGCAGCTGCCCCCCATGCCCATGGCACCCCCCAGGGCACCCCCCATGCCCATGGCACCCCCCAGGGCACCCCCCAGGGCACCCCCCGGCCGCAGCCGTGCCCGGAGCAGCGCAGAGCCGCCCACATCGTCCAACTGCTGACGCTGTACCGGCCCCTGCTCGACGCCTTCGTCATCGTGAGTGTGCCCGGGCTGTGCCCGGGCTGTGACCCTGAGCTGTGACCCCAGGGCTGTTTCCCCCTGGGCTGTGCCCCCCAAGCTGTGCCCCCCAAGTTGTGACCCTCAGGCAATGACCCCTGAGCTGTGCCCCCCAAATTGTGACCCCCCACAAGCTGTGCGCCCCAAGGTATCCCCCCGAGCTGTGCCCCCTGAGCTGTGCTTTTCCCAGGCTGTGCCCCCCAAGCTGTGCCCCCCAAGGCAATGACCCCTGAGCTGTGACCCCCAAGTTGTGACCCCCCACGCTGTGCCCCCCAGGGTATCCCTCTGAGATGTGCCCCCTGAGCTGTGCCTCCCAAACTGTGCCCCTCAAACTGTGCCCCCCAAGGTATCCCCCTGAGCTGTGCCCCATGAACTGTGCCTTTCCCAGGCTGTGCCCCTCAAGTTGTGCCCCCCAAGCTGTGTCCCCCAAATTGTGACCCCCTAAGCTGTGCCCCCCAAGGCATCCCCCTGAGCTGTGCCCCATGAGCTGTGCCTTTCCCAGGCTGTGCCCCCCAAGGTATCCCCATGAGATGTGCCCCTGAGCTGTGACCCTCTGAGCTGTGCCCCCCAACCTGTGCCTTTCCCAGGCTGTGCCCCCCAAGGTATCCCCCTGAGCTGTGCCCCCCAAGCTGTGCCCCCCAAGCTGTGCTCCCCCAGGTATCCCCCTGAGCTGTGCCCCCCAAGTTGTGCCCCTCAAGCTGTGCCCCCCAAGGCATCCCCTGAGCTGTGCCCCCCAAGCTGTGCCCCCCAAGCCGTGCCCCCTCCCCCTCCCTTCCCCACACCGCCCCCTTCTCCCCGCAGGATTTCTTCACGGAGGACCTGTGGGCACAGCTGCCCGCAGCCTGGCAGCCCTCCCTGGCCGGTGCCACCCCCGTGCAGCTGGCCGGGCTCCTGGGGGGCCGTGGGGACACGGGGGTCCCCTGGCCCCTGTCCCTGCTGGCGTTTGCCGCCGCTGCCCGCGCCCTGGCACTGCCCCGGGGCTGCCCCCGAGGGTCCCCGCGCCCCCCGTGCCAGAGCCACCAGCTGCACCCGCTGCTCCGCCGCCACGTCAAGCCCAAAAAGCAGCACGAAATCCAACGCCTGAGCAAGGTGGGTGCCCCTCCCTGTGCCCTGATGTTGGAATTTGTGGGTGTTGGTGATTCTGAGATTGTAGAAAGTCTCTGTCTTTCTGCCCCATTGCTAAAGAAGAAGCCATAGTTCGTCTGTGCTGTTTTTAAGGTTGTTTATTCTGTTTATCTCTAACAAGTTCTGCTGCCCTGCCGCAGCTCTGTCCTGCAGGGCAGCGTGTGGGGCTCTGCCCTCAGTGGGATGTTATAAACATTATATACTAGAAATTACGTGTACTATATTTATAATAATGTGCTAATATTTATCATCTACGTTGAACAGTGTGTTCTCAGCCTAAACTAATAGAAAAATGCTAACATTACTAAGAACATGGAGGTAAGGAAGAAGAAGGAGGAAGAAAAGGATTAGGCCCACTTTCTTTTATCTTAGAACTCCTGACCCCCATGTACAAAGTAAAACCCCCCTGTACAGGTGTTAAAACCCCCCTGTACAATACTAAAAAATTTTACCCTCTAATTTGTGACTACTTTTACTATATCATCTAACCCTCTGTGACTGCTTGTTCCACCTTCAAAGTTGGTAATTCATTCCATGGTTCAAACTCAAAATCACAGCTGTTTTCTGCTGTTTGCTGGGGTCTAAAATGCTTCTGACTAAGGCTTGGAACCTCTGAAAATGTCTGAGGGACATTTTGAGTTCTGACACCCTGAGACCCCCCAGCCCTCCCCAAGCCCCCCTAAGAGCCGCCTTTGCCCACAGCTGCTGCTCCGGCTGAGCCGTGCCACCGGCTGCCAGCGCGTGGTGGACGTGGGAGCGGGGCAGGTAAGGGTGGGGGGCACAGAGGGGTCTTGGGGTGTCACCCCCAGCCCAGCTGAGCTCCTGTCCCCTCACAGGGCCACCTCTCCCGGTTCCTGGCCTTTGGGCTGGGCATGGGGGTCACCGCAGTGGAGAGCGACGCCCGCCTGGTGGGCCTGGCCCGGCGCTTTGACCAGGAGCTGCTGCGGGAGCTGGGCAAAACCAGGGGGTCCCAGCCGTGCCCCCTCACCCCCCGCGCCCCCCAGCACCTCGCCGGCCGCCTGGACCCCACAGCTCCCTGGGGGGAGTTCCTGCTGCCCCCTGAGCCACCAGGAGCCGGCCCCGCTGCCCGGAACCCGCTGGGGGGCCCGGGGGGCTCCGAGGACGGGGGGCTGGTGCTGCTGACGGGGCTCCACGCTTGTGGGGACCTCGGCCCGGCCCTGCTGTGCCACTTTGCCCGCAGCCCTGCCGTGGCTGCCGTGGCTTTGGTGGGCTGCTGCTACATGAAGTTGTCGACCACCCTGCAGCAGCAACCTGGGTACCCCCCTGGCTACCCGCTGAGCGCCTCGGTGGCAGCGTTACCGGGCCACCAGTTGTCCTACCGGGCACGGGAGGCAGCGTGCCACGCGCTGGAGGAGTTCGAGGGGCGGCTGCTGGAGGGCAGTGCCCACCTGCGTGCCCACTGCTACCGCGCCGCCCTCGAGAGCCTGATCCGCGCCGCCGACCCCGCCAAGAGGCACCTGGGCCTGCAGCCGGGCAGGAAGGCTCATGGCCTCAGCTTCCCCCAGTGAGTTTGGGCGGGGGGATCCTCTCCTGCGTCCCCCCTGGTGCTCCCCAGAGAGCTCTTTCTGGGAGATCTGCTGGCGCTCCCCGAGTTTGGGGATGGAGGAGACGTTTCTGGGATGTCTCCGAGCCCCCCGTGAGTTTGGGGAGAGAAAATCCTTTTCTGGAATTCTCCTTGTGAGTTTGGGGAGTGGAAAAACCCTTTTCTGGAATTCTCCTTGTGAGTTTGGGGAGTGGGGACACCCTCCTGGCCCTGTATTGAATTTGGGGAGGGGGAACCCCCTTTTGGGACCCTCTTCCTGAGTGTGGGGAATGGGGTCAACCTCCTGTGCCCCCTCCTGGCCCTGCACTGAATTTGGGGAGGGGGAACCCCCTTTTGGGACCCCCTTTGTGAGTGTGGGGAATGGGGTCAACCTCCTGTGCCCCTTCTGGCCCTGTACTGAATTTGGGGAGGGGGAACCCCCTTTTGAGACCCTCTTTGTGAGTGAATGGGGTCAACCTCCTGTGCCCCTTCCTGGCCCTGCACTGAATTTGGGGAGGGGGAACCCCCTTTTGGGACCCTCCTCATGAGTGTGGGGAATGGGGTCAACCTCCTGTGCCCCTTCAGGGCCCTGCAGTGAATTTGGGGAGGGGGAACCCCCTTTTGGGACCCTCTTTGTGAGTGTGGGGAATGGGGTCAACCTCCTGTGCCCCTTCCTGGCCCCGCAGTGAATTTGGGGAGGGGGAACCCCCTTTTGGGACCCTCTTTGTGAGTGTGGGGAATGGGGTCAACCTCCTGTGCCCCTCCTGGCCCTGTACTGAATTTGGGGAGGGGGAACCCCCTTTGTGAGTGTGGGGAATGGGGTCAACCTCCTGTGCCCCTCCTGGCCCTGCAGTGAATTTGGGGAGGGGGAACCCCCTTTTGGGACCCTCTTCCTGAGTGTGGGGAATGGGGTCAACCTCCTGTGCCCCTCCTGGCCCTGCAGTGAATTTGGGGAGGGGGAACCCCCTTTTGGGACCCTCTTTGTGAGTGTGGGGAATGGGGTCAACCTCCTGTGCCCCTTCCTGTCCCCACAGTGAATTTGGGGAGGGGGAACCCCCTTTTGGGACCCTCTTCCTGAGTGTGGGGAATGGGGTCAACCTCCTGTGCCCTTCCTGGCCCTGCACTGAATTTGGGGAGGGGGAACCCCCTTTGTGAGTGTGGGGAATGGGGTCAACCTCCTGTGCCCCTCCTGGCCCCGCAGTGAGACTGGGGAAGGACAGAACTTCCTTCTGGGACCCTCCTCAGGAATTTGGGGATGGGGGAGCCCTGCCTGGCACTCCCCTGCCCTCTTTTATGACAGATACGCCCAGCTGGGGCTGCCCCTGGCGGGGCTGGACCCAGCAGAGTTCCAGCTGGACTCGGGGGCTGTGAGGGCCATGCTGGAGCAGCAGCACAAGGTGGTGGCATTCTGCACCCTGGGGCAGCTCCTGGCACCTGTGGTGGAGACCCTCATCCTGCTCGACCGGCTGCTCTACCTGCGGGAGCAAGGTGGGCACAGGCGATCCTCCCCCTACTCATTTCCTCTCTCCCTGGACCCCTCTCTGCGTTCTCCCAACTCTCCTTTGCTTTTTTTCCCAGGTTTTCACTGTGCCCTCGTGCCTCTCTTCAACCCTCGCTTCTCCCCGAGGAACCTGGTGCTGGTGGCCTCACGGACCCCGCTGGCCACGGTGCTGGACAAGGACAGTGAGGATGAGGATGTGGAGGAAGCTGAGTCCTCCCAGGAGGAGCAGAGCTGCCACAACCCACAATAAACCCAAGATTTTTACACTCTGGGGCTGGGTGAGAGTCAGAGCTGCACCAAGAGCGCCAAATCAGAGCTGCACCAAAAGTGCCAAATCCAAATCAGAGCCGCACCAAAAGCGCCGCACGCTACAAACACAGCAAATCAAAGGGGGTTTACTGCAGAGCCCGGGGGGCTTCCAGCTGTCCCAGTTAATACCAGTAGGATTTCTTAGCCCGCCGTGTCTCCACGATCCCCATGGCATCCATGATCTCCTCCTCGAACGTCTTCAGCGACGGCCGGTACGTCTTGGCCAGCGCGTCCTCCTTCGACGTGTCCTTGGGGCCATCTGTGGGGGCGAGGGGACAGCGCTGACCCCCTGTGTGTCCCCCCCACGTCCCCCTGGCCTTGTCACCCTGCTCACCGATCCACTGCTCGGGCACGACGCCGTCCGGGCGCGGCTGCGGGGGCACGGGCAGGATGCGGCCGCTGCGCAGCGCCACGCGGACGCGCTCGCCCTCCTCCGTGTACCTCCACTGCACCTCCGTGGGCTGCCTGCGGGCACAGGGCCTCAGGAAACAGCACAGAACACCCTCCAACCTCTATGGTTAATCCAACATTCTCCCTTTATTCCAGAGAAGACGGCAGTTTTTATACACTTCTATAGTTTACACTTTACAAACGCACTCTGATTAGCACACTAACATTATTTACCTTTACCTTTTCACACTGCAGCTCTACCCTAATTCACACTCAGATAGCTCATGACTTTGTAGCAACCTTAACATAATTTCTGTCTGCACCACTGTAGTTTTCCCCCCCTCCACGCAGCCCCCCAAAGAATCTGACTAGCTCAGAGATATGGGCTGTGAGGGGAGGAATACCAGGAGAGGGATAAATATTCAAAAGAGGCTCTTATCTCAGGGTGTTGGAACTGCTCTCTTTATTCTGTGGTGTCCATGGGAGAGCAAAAAAGAAAGAACAGGAAATCTCAGGGGTCTATGTAGGTTTTGGACAGGGTGGGCTCTCCTGGCTCTCCGTTGAGGCAGGAAGGAGGATCCAGGGGTTATATTTGATCAGAGTCACAGAGTTCTGGGGGAAGAGGGGCAAAATGGTGCCATGAGCTCACCGTAACACACCACAACTAAATTCTTGCTGCATCAAAGGCTCCTCAGCCCCACCAAAGCCTAGTCTGAGGGGTAGCTCAATTCTCACTCCAGATATAAATCATACCCTCTCTCTCTCAGAAATTCTGTCACAACACGAGGGGCAGGACTGATCCCCAAATCCTCACCGGTCCTCGGGGTCCACCAGGCAGACCTGGCTGAGCAGCAGCGGCGCCTCGCTGGCGATGTAACTCCCCGAGTACTTGGCCGTGCGGTTGACGTAGCGATAGTGCTGCGAGGCACAGGGGGTCACGGGTGGTCCGTGGGCTCCTCGTGGGCTCCCCACAGCCCTCCCTGCTCCAGCCTCACCGTGTTCAGGCCTTCCACCACCACCCAGTTGCGGGCTCGTACCACCTGGCTGACCGTGCCCTGCTTGCCCGCGTCCTTCCCGGCCAGCACCTGCACCTGAGAGAGGGGCAGAGGTGGGACCCCAGCCCGGCCACCAGCCTGGGGAGAGCCTGGGGAGGGGGCAGCCTCACCGTGTCACCCTTAAACACCTTCCAGTCCTCCTTGGCGATGGGTTCCACGAAAATCTTGCGGCGGCGCTGTCCCGGTGGGTTGCGGAGCCGGGCGGCCATGGAGTCGGGGGGCCAAGTGCCGTGCCGGTAGCCCGGGGGCAACCGGGGCCGTGCCGCGCTCAGCAGGGCAGAGAGACGCATGGTGCTGTGGATTGGGGGGTCAGGGGGGCTCTGGGGTCACCACACACCTCCCCACAGTCAGCTGTGGCCGGGTGCAGGGTCCGCCAGAGCCCCCCACAAATGGGGTCACACAGATTCTCATCACCCACAGGGCCTTTGGGGGATCCAGGTACATCCCTCACCCAGGTACATCCTTCTCCCAGGTACATCCCTCACCCAGGTACATCCTTCTCCCAGGTACATCCCTCACCCAGGTACATCCAGGTACATCCTTCACCCAGGTACATCCAGGTACATCCTTCACCCAGGTACATCCAGGTACATCCTTCACCCAGGTACATCCCTCACCCAGGTACATCCAGGTACATCCTTCTCCAGGTACATCCCTCACCCAGGTACATCCCTCACCCAGGTACATCCCTCACCCAGGTACATCCAGGTACATCCTTCTCCCAGGTACATCCCTCTCCAGGTACATCCCTCACCCACGGAGGGACCCAGGGATCCCACAGAGCCCCCCCCCCACCCAGGGGACGCAGATATCCTGCAAACCTCCCAAAGGGGACCTGTGGACCCCCCCCAGCTCCACGAGGAGTCACACGAACATCCTCCCCTTCCCCCAAGGGGAAACACGGGGAGAGCACCCAGGGGTCCCGCAGAGCTCGTCCCCCCCAAAAACCACGGGCAGAGCCTCCCGCACCCCAAAACCCCCCCAACCTCCCATAGGGAACCCACAGAGCACACTCCTTCCACCCACCCCGGCGGGAAGGACCCCCAGAGGGCCCCAAACCCGGCAAACCCCGCCGGTAGCCCGGGAAGGGCCCGCAGAGCCCAAACGGGGGTCCCGCACCCCGACCCCGCTCACCTGAGGGGCCGCGCCGCTCCCGCGCTCCGGGGGGCGTGGCCAGCCGCGGTGGGCGTGGCCAACCGCGCGGGGCACGACGGGAGTTGTGGTCCCAGCGCGGGGCACTCCAGGAGTTGCGGTCCTAGCGCGGGGCACGCCGGGAGTTGTAGTCCTAGCGCGGGGCACGCCGGGAGTTGCGGTCCCAGCGCGGGGCACACCGGGAGTTGTAGTTCCAGCGCCCCACCGGCCCCTAGGCCCCGCCGCAGCCCCGGCCCACGGTGAGCGGCCGCCGGGAGCTGTAGTCCGGCCGCGGCTCCATCTTCTGCTGCTGCCCTCCCCGTCCCCGCGGCTGGCCCAGGGGCAGGGGACGCGCTCCTCTGTCCCCTCTGCAGGGAGCTGGGCACGGCCAACTAGGCCCGGTTGGGCCTCTCCTGTGTGGGTTGGGTGTGTGGGGCAGAGTGGGCAAGAATGGTCACGGCCTGAGCCTGGCACAGCTCAAGAGTGTTTGGAGACAGCCCTCGGGCACAGGATGTGATTTTGAGGTGGCCAGAGCCAGACTTGATTATCCTGACAGGTCCCTTCCTGCTCAGGATATTCCGCTATTCCAACCAACAGAGAAGCTGAGTGCTTGGACAAAGCTCTAGGACATTTGGGACATCTAGGACATTGGATTTGGGACATTTTGGGGTGTCCTGTGCAGGCCCCAGAACTGGACTCAATCCTTCCTGCTCAGGATATTCCACTATTCCATCCAGCAGAGAAGCTGAGTGCTTGGACAAAGCTCTAGGACATTTGGGACATCGGGTTTGGGGCATTTTGGGTTGTCCTGTGCAGGCCCCAAAACTGGACCTGCTCAGGATATTCCACTGTTCCAGCAGAGAAGCTGACAAAGCTCTGGGACATTGGGTTGGGGACATTTTGGGGTGTCCTGTGCAAGCCCCAGAACTGGACTCAATTCTTCCTGCTCAGGATATTCCACTATTCCACCCATCAGAGAAGCTGAGTGTTTATATAACTCTAGGATGTTGGGATTGGGGCATTTTGGGGTGTGCTCTGCAAGCCCAGAGCTCGCTGATCCCTGTGGGTCTCTTCCAGCTCAGGATACTCCATAATTTCATGATCCTAAAGGTCAAGGAGTGTTTAGACAATGCTTTTGGATGCTGGGATTTTGAGGTGCCATGTGCAGGGCCGAGATTAAGAGTTGATCCTTCTGTGTCCCATCCAGCTCAGGGCATTCTCTGATTCTGTAGTTCCTATTTCAGCTCCCCTCCAAAACCCTTCCCTGCCCCAGCCCCATCTCCCCCCACCCCAGAGCTGCCCCAAGGCTCCCAAAACCCCCATGCAGGGGGACCCAGCTTTTAAAAAGGCAAGATTTGCTTTTATTTCAAATCAACTGCTCAGCCCCGAGGAATCACCAATACAAAGCGTGTGCCCACGGCAGGGCAGGCACGGAGCGCTCGGGGTCAGTACCGGGCTGCTCTGCATTCCTCTTTTTTTTTTTTTTGGTAGTTTTTTTTCTCTTTTTTCTTTTGGAAATTTCCTTTTGGGGTGGTTTCTCTTGTCTGGAGCTCCTGACACGATGAGCCGGCGTGGGGCAGCACCCAGGAGCCAGAGGGGGAAGGATCAGCTCGCCAGGGAAGCCACTACAGGCTGTGAGGAGCCAAGAAGAGAGGCAAAATTCTTGATCAGACCCCTGCAGTGCCAGGGGTGCCCCCAAAACCTGCAGGCTGTGAGGACAGGGCTCACCACACCACCACCCTCACCTCTCCTTGTGGTCTCTGACCTCCTCCTTGCCCTCCTGCTTGGCTTGGTTGGTGGCCGGCGTGTCGGCGGCGTCGCTGTTCTTCTCCCCTTCGCCGGGGTTGCCTTTGGGCTCCTCTTTGGGCGCCTCTTCGTTGTCCACCTTCTTGTCCCCTTCTTGTCCCTCTGCATCCTTGGGGCGTTTGGGGGAATCCTGCCCGGGGGAAGCTCAGCTCAGCTCAGCCCAACCCCAGTCCCCAACATCCCCACGCCCTGCCCAGCCCACCCAGTACCTCCAAAGCATCCTCAGCTTTCCTCTTGGTGCCGCCTTTCTCGTTCTTCTCCTTGGACTGCTCGTCGATCACCAGTTTCCCCTCCTCGTCGCTGCTGCCCTCAGCGTTGCCCTTCTTCTCCCCGTCCCCCTCCGCCTCCCGCTCGGCCGCCGTGGGGCAGCTCTTCTTCTGGGTGGGCTGTGGGCACGGGGGGGGTTCACAGCGAGCCCCCAGGAAGGGGAAACGGTTGGGGGGAGGTGGGATGGAGCCCCCCCAAGCTCGTCACCCACCTGGTAACCGGAGGCTTTGACCGTGGGGTTGTTCTCGATCTCCCACAAACCTTCGCTGAAGCCTTTCCGCTTGTTGGGTTTTCCAAACTTCTCCTTGCACTCCTCGTAGGGGAAGAGGTCTTTGGGCCCCAGGAATGCTCTGTGAAGGGGGAAAAACAGTCAGGGGTGGGATCTCACCTCTCCCAAACTCACTGGCCCGCCCTGGAAGCCCCGACTCCCACTCACGTTTCGTGGGTCCCGAAGAAGAAGACTTGGTATTTATTGGAGGAGGATTTGACTGCAGCTTCTGGCATCTCGTCAATCTGTGTGACACAAAGGACAGGGTGACAGGAGAGGGCAGAGACCCTCGGGGCTCCTCAGACCCCCAGGACATCCCCCCACCCCCTCCATTGTCCTATGGGAAAAGCCCCTGGGAATTCCTCCTGGGAATTCTCCCAGGAGACAGAGCTGGCACAAAGTGGTCAGCAGAACAAGTGCTTGTGCCCACACTGGTCCCCTTCTCCCACCCCGTGCCCCCCTAAGCTCCAATCTAGACCAGCTCAGACACACTCAGCAAATTCAGGCGCTGCCAGCGGTGCCAGGGCAGCTCCCCCAGCCTGGCCAGCAACGGGGTCGAGGTGCCACCCTGGCCAAAAGGGGGTCAGCAGACAAGGGGACAGCCTGCTGAGGGCTGTGGGGTCGAGCAGCAGCCGGTGCCAAACCCACGGGCAGGTGCTGCTCCACCGAGCGCGGATAATCCCGAGGCGCCAAGCGGGAAGGGAGCGAAAGCAACTCCGGCTGCTTTTTATAGCAGCTAAAAATAACCCCCCCTGCAGCCAGCAGCCATAAATTCCCCGAGAAAACCTCCAAGGGAGGTGGAAGGAGCCGGAGGAGGATGCGGGTGGGGGTCTCGGGGCGGGCGCCAGCACGTCACCGGGCTGGACGGTGCCAGCGGGCACGGTCGGGATGCCAGGTCCCGTTCCCAGCGCTCTGCTGACTCATGGCACAACCTTTCCTCAGTCACCATGACCCCCACAGCTTGCCCAGCCTCAGTTTCCCCAGCCAGCAGCGCCAGGGTGTCGTGACAAGGTGGACCTGGCCAGGAGTTTCTCCTGATTGCCTTCACAGAGTTGGGGTGGCACCAACACCCACCCCTGTGCTGAGGGGCAATGCTGGCACAACCCCAGGGCAGAGGGGCACCAGGATGTGCTGGAGGCTCGGTGTGATGTCCCACTCCTGCGTGGGATGTGCCTTTGTGCCATCCCCGCTGACCAAACGGGGTTTGGGGCGTGCAGCCCGTCCTGCACCAGGATCTGGGGGGTTCAGGATTGAAGTGCTCCCACCCAGCGCCCTGGGGCTGGTGGCAGTGTCATGCCCCAGTGCAAAGGCACGGGGACACTCCAGGAGCATGGACAGTCCCCAGCAGAGCAGAAGGTCAGCCTGGCCCTCGCAGAGCCTCCAGCAGGACCCTGGCCCATGGTGGCAGCTGGGAGCAGCAGCTCCATCCCTGCGTGGCACCGAAGGAGGAGGAGGAGGGGACGATGTGACTCAGAGGGGCGGCCACCAGCCCTGCCCAGCCCTCAGGCCACCTTCCTGCAGGTCACTCCTGGGACAACGTGCCAAAGGCCCCTGGGGCACCCCAGGAACCCAAACCCTCCCCAGCCAGGCTTGGACGGGCACCCCACAACCCCTGGCAGTGCCAGGACCCTGATGGAGATTCCCCCAGCAAGTTTCCAAACCTCCTTCCCCAAGGAAAGGGGAAAGAGGATCAGGCAGCAGCTCCAGGCATGGCTGCCACGCTCCAGGCATGGCATGCACAGTGCCACCATGTCCCCAACCCAGGAATGAGGGGGTCCAGGGACAGCTGGGATCCCCCTGCCCCTGGGATTCCTGCCAGCACCAGCCCCTTATCACCCCCTCCTGCACCCCAAGGCTCTATCAGCAGGGCGTGGGGACACCGGGCAGGAGGGTGACACCCCGTTGGGGACACCGATAGTGCAGACAGCTGCAAACCCACCCAAAAACCCACACCATGAGGGGCCCAGCGGCACCGTCACGGCCGTGTCTGTTTGTCCGTCCCTGTCACTGGAGGGAGACAGGGCTGCGGTGCCAGGGTAAAGTCCACCCTGCCCATTTCTGTCCCCCTGCCAGCTCCTGCGAATGGCACCGGTGTCACAGCCCGGCCTTGCCCAGGGATCTGCACCCTGAGCTCGGGGCGGGGGGGTCTGAAAATGGGCTGGGACAGGTCCCACGGGAGGAGAAGCTCTGGAGCGTGGCAGGGGGGGGACGGGCACGTACCCCTGCTCTGGACTCTGCCCCCAACCTCTGCTCTTCACCTTTCAACTGCTCCACGCAGCACGGCTGGTGCAGCCTGCCCTGCGCTGGCCATGGGGGCTGGGAGCAGCCCCCTCGCTGCCTCAGTTTCCCCAGCGAGGACCTGGCTGTCGGGAAGAGGAATTAATTAATGGAATTAGCTCATGTGGGTCACACACGTGGTGGGGGGCACACACAGTGAGTGGGGGTCCTGTGGCACCCATGGGTGCCCCCAGGGATCTCCTCAGCCCTGGGGCCACCACTGGGCCCCATCCCAGCACCAGGCTGGCAGCGGGCACCGAATTAGGCGGAGCAGGATGCTGAGCCCACCATGGCAACAGGAGATGCTCGGGGAGGGGGATGCCAGTGGTGCCAGGCTGGTGCTTCATGCCCTGCACAGAACAGGGGCTGCAGGCCTGGCCACAGCACAGGGAGGCACCAAGGGGCAGGTGACAACCAGGGCCTGGCATAAGGGACCCTGTGGAGAAGGGGTGAGGGGAAAAGGGAGGCAAGCATCATCCTGCAGGTGCCAGCGACTCATCTCCTCGCTCTCGTGCCTCAGTTTCCCCTCTGTTTAACGCTGTGCCTCTCAGGGAGAGGTTTCAGCCTCTCAGGGAGAGGTTTCCACCGAGCTGCTGGAGTTGGGGACATGTTGATGGCACATTCCCAGGTGCCATCCTCAGGGAATGGGTCAGCACAAGAACCCCTCCCCCTTCCATTTCTTCCCGTATCTTCCCTCTCCAGCCACACCTGGCTGGAAACAAACACCCCGGCAAACGCCACGCGTGGCCAGGTAAGGTTTCATCACAGCACCCGATTAGTCACGGGCAAACCCTGCCTGATTAGTCACGGAGGGCTGAGCTCCAAACCTCCCCAGCATCAACCAGCACCCCTGGGCTTGGGGGAGCCCAACCTCCTGCAGGGGAAAACATATTCCCTGCCCTCCCCAGCACCCCAAAACACTCCGGGCTGAGCTGCTGGTGGCAGGAGCGTGAAACCCGAGTGGGGCTGGCGTTAATTCTGTGCCCAACAGGAGGGATGTGAGCATCACCCCGGAGCGGCAGCAGCTCCAGCGGCTTTGGGGACCCCGCAGGGAGGGTTGGGGGGCTGGAGGAGGATGGGGCTGTGCCCGGGGGATTGTGGCTGTGTCCTGGAAGGGAAGCTGTGCTGGAAAAGCTGCTCCCAGGGATCCCTGTGGCTCCTCCTCGCAAAGCCGCTTTCAAATGCGCGTTGGGAGGCCGGTGCCAAATCCGAGCGGCTCCCAACCCCCTCCCGGCCTCCCCGCCAGAACCCGACAAACCAAACAAAAGTTATTCAAATCCGCCAGGGGGAAGGAGGAGGGGATGGGGTGGGGGGGGTTTAAAACCCTATCGCCCCATTCCTGCCTTTTTTCCGCTCAATTTGGGGTTTCCAGGCAGCCCCGGTGCCCTTTAGCAGCGAGGCCGGGAGGGGAGTGCGTGTGTGGTGTGTGTGTGTGGGGGGGAACACTCCAAGGAAATTTTAAACTGCATCATCAACCGCTTAAAAATAACCAGCGGCGTCTTGTGCAGCCCACGGGGGGCTTTGGGTTCATCCCGGGGGTCCCGGGACCCTCCGGGGGGAGCAGCGGGGTCGGCGCATGGTGGAGCCTCGACCCCCTTTTCCCCCGTCCTAAATCCTCAATAATTCCATCGATTTCCCAAATTCGAACTCCCGGCACCCGTGGCGAGAGGTAAGGCCACCACCAGCCGGGGGACACGCTCGGGGACCCACCGGCGAGGTTAAAACCGGGGGGGTTTGGTTAAAACCCCCCCTGGTATCCCCCAAATCATCAGTGAAGAAGAGGAGGAGGAACGACCCGACCCCTCCGTGGGGTCTCGCAATGGGGCGGGAAGGGCGTCCCGGTGCGGCCCCACGTGGAAAAGCGACCCCCGGTAGCGGTGGGGGGACACCGGGGAGGGACACAAGGGGGGTCCCCACTCCCACGCGGCGGCAGGAGCCACGCGGTCTCCACCCGTGACCCCCTCCCTTCCCCCCACCCCGGGAGAAAAATGAATAAACAGCATAAAAAAAACCCGGGGGGAGCTCAGGATGTTGTTTCCAACACATAAAATCCACCCAATTTCAAGGGAATATCCCGAATCTCGGTACCGAATAACCCCCGGGCCCGGCCTTACATAAGGCACCGGCAAAGTTGGACCCCGGTCCCGGTGGAAGGGCACCGGGGGGGTTTGAAGGCTGACCCCGGTGCGGACACACCCCCCCGCCGGTAACGGGGGCAGCCTGACCCCGGTGCCCCCCCATCCCCCGGGGCAGCTCGGTTATGCAACGGGGAGCACCGGGGGGATCACCGGAGGGTCCCACCGCCCTCCCAGCCCTTCCCCAGCTCCTTACCCGGGCAGGCCAGTGAGGGTAACCCTTCATCTTGGCGAAAACCAGGTCCCCGCATTTGTATTCCTTCTGCCGGTTGGACCGGGACATCGTGGCTGGCGGCTCCTCCCGGGACCGGAGGAACGGGCGGCGGAGGGGAGGGTGGGGGGGGGGAGGGAAGGGATGGGGGAGGGGAGGAGGGGGGTTAGGGATGAAGTTTGGGAGGCAAAACGCGGCGAGGCAGGGGATTAACTAAAAAAATGGGGAAAAAAAAGGAAAACACCCCAAAAAAACCCAGCAACAACAAAAAAAATCCGAAGGGGGAGGCGCGGAGGCAGCGGCTGCTCTGCCCCCCCCCCCCCCCGGTCGGGGTCAGCGGCGGCGCGGCGCAGCGGCGGAGGGCCCGAGACCCATGCGGTTGTTTGTGTTTGAAATTCAATTGCTCCCTCCCTCCGCCAACCCCCCCCACCCCCCCTAACCACCCTTCCCCTTCCTCCTCCTCCTCCTCCTCCTCCTCCTCCTCCTCCTCCTCCTCCTCCTGCTGCTGCCGCTGCCGGTGGATGCGCTCGGCGCTCGGCAGCGCTGCCTGGGCGCGCACACGCACCGCGCGCACCCGACAGGCCTAAAAAAAAAAACCAACAAAAACAAAACCAAAAACAAACAAAAAAACCCCAAAACCCCCTCAAAAAAACCCAAAATGTGCCCGGCTGCACGTGGCCGTGGTGGGGGATGTGGGTGGTCACAGGGGGTGACACCAGAGGGACGCCCGGGTATGGGCTGGGAGGAGGAATGGGGTGTTGGAGAGGGGAAAATGGGTGTAAAAAGAGAGGAAAAAGGGCGTAAAGCCATGCAGAAGTGTAAAACAGCAGCAAAAATGGTGTGGGAAATATGTAAAGCAGTGGAAAAGTATAAGGTGAAAAACGGGTGTAAAACTGTGCATAGCTGTGATGTGAAAAATAGGTGTAAAACGGTGTACAACCAGTGTGAAACAGCACCAAAACAGTGTAAAAAGAGTGTAAAACAGTGCAAAAGTATAATGTGAAAAACAGGTGTAAAACAGTGCAAAACCAGTGTAAAACAGCAACAAAAATGGTGTAAAAAACGTGTCAAACAGTGCAAAGCTATAATGTGAAAAACAGGTGTAAAGGTTTGCACAACTGTTTTACAAACAGTGTAAAACAGGACCAAAAATTTTGTAAAGAACATGTCAAACACTGCAAAAGTATAATGTGAAAAACAGGTGTAAAACAGTGCATAACCAGTGTAAAACAGCACCAAAATTGTGTAAAAAACATGTAAAGCAGTGCAAAACTATAATGTGAACAACAGGTGTAAAACAGCGCTAGAACAGTGTGAAAACCATGTAAAACAGTGTAAAACTAGCATAAAATTTGTGTAAAACAGTGTAAAACTGGCATAAATTTGTGTAAAACAGTGTAAAACTGGCATAAATTTGTGTAAAACAGTGCAAAATTGGCATAAAGATATGTGAAAGTGTAAAACAGTGCAAAACTATAATGTGAAACCATGAAAAACAGGTGTAAAACAGTGCATAACCAGTGTAAAACAGCACCAAAATTGTGTAAAAAACATGTAAAAGAGTGCAAAACTGGCATAAAAATGGGTGAAGCAGTGCAAAACTGGTTTTAAACCGATGCAAAACAGTGCAAAAGCTGCGTGAGACAGTACAAAACCAGTGTAAAGCTATGTCAAATTTGCTGTAAGACAACAAAACAGTGCAAAATGTGCAAACCAGTCTAAAGCCAGCCTAAAATGATGTAGCAGCATCCCCTAAAAAACCCCACATCCTGGCTGCAGCTGAATATGTGATGGAAGAGCTTTTGAAAAGAGAGAAAATTGTGATTGTGAGCATTTGGTGCCCACACAGGGTCACTTCAGCCAAGCTGCCCCGTTCACCCCCAGCAGAAAAATGAATTTTTTGCTTAGGAACTGCAGAGCTGCTGGGATTGCTCAGGGCACATGAAAATCCCTGGGAAATCTCTGGGGAGGAGGTTTGGGCCCTAAGCAGCCTCAGCGTGGGGTTCCAGGGTGACAAAGGGGGTTTATTTTGATTTATTTCATTTATTTAGTCCTCACTTCAGACCAAACCTGGGATTAAACACAAGATTAAATAATTTGTAAAGGCAGAACCTCCACCCTGACCTGGCACTGGGGGTTCCTGGGCTGGGCTCTTTTCTTTCCATCCCCCTGTGTTTTCCTTGGCTTAATTTCTCCTAATAAGCTGCAAAGTAACACGAATAAATAATCCACGGGGTCAGGGCTGACAGCAGGATCCTACTGCTGTTTTAGGGGTGAGACCAGACTCAAGGAATCTCCACCTGCTATGGAAAAATGGAAAAAGGCCGAGGGAAACAAGGATTCCTCCCTCTTTCTCCACAGCAGGAGCCAGATTTTATTTAAGCTGGGTTCCTCCTCTCCCTGCCTGAATTTTTGTTGATTTTTCTTGGCAGAGGATGAGGGCTGCCTGGTGTTAGAGCTTGGGGGGGTTGAACCCCTCGGTGCTTCTCAGGGAATCACCCGTTTCCCTTTGCTAAATCCTAAAAATTTACACTTAGGACACAGTGGAAGAAATCTTGGAAGATCCCAACCAATCCCCCAGTGTGCAAAAGGCCAATCACTTGGTTTTTAAAAGTTGAAAGTTTAATGATAATACTATGGTTATAAAAATAGTAATACAATTAGAGTGAAAAACGCCAATCACTTGGTTTTTTAAAATTTGAAAGTTTAATAATAATAATAAAATGGTTGTAAAAATAGTAATACCATTACAGTAATAAAATTACAGTTAGGAGGATTACAAGACAATAAAAAGCAAAGAATTACGGATATCCGGATGCTCTCAGATCAGGAAAAGCATCCCTTGTGAACAAAGGAATAACCTTAAAAACAACAGCCTGTTGCATATTCATATATCTCATACATGATGCATAAATTCCTTGCAAATTAAGAAATTTTCTGGGTTTTGTCAACTTCTTCGCCTTAATCCTGGTGGTTCCAAAAAGGTGGAAGAATGTTTGTCTTTTCTGAAAAGGAGGCTGTAACTCTTTATGGGCCCCAAGTCACTGCCATCTCTGTGTGAAGAGTTTCTTGATTCTCTCATCTCTTGCTTGAGCTAGTAAAAAAAATTCTACATTGCAGAGTTTCTATTTCAACATTATGTTGTAACCTAAAATTGTATTTAACACACTACTAAAGAGAATTCATACATCATAACTTTCTAACATTACACATATCATATTCATTCTAATATTTGTGAAAAGCCAATCATAAATTCTGCATTTTTCACACCCGGGATGATGTTTATGGTCACTTCCAGCCCAAATGATGACTCTGAGCACAAAGGGCGTTTGGCTGGGGAAGTGACAGCGACGCTGGGCCTGATCCACAAAAATCCCCATCTTCATTTTGGGGTTCTGTGGGAATCCAGGGCTTCCCTCTGCCTGCCCTGGGACCCTGGCAGGGGTCAGGAACCCCCCTGGACAGAGCCCCCAGAGACACTGGCTGTGATCTCTGTCCATGGAGAGGAGTTTTCAATCTTACAGGATGAATTACAAGCTCTGAGTGTTTGATAAGAGTAATAATTAAGTGTGGCACGGGTGCAAAAGTAAAATTTTAGGTTTCTAGATTAGGGGTTCAGAGGGGACAAGATGGAGGAAATTGGGTGTGCCTTGTCCTTTTTCTCCTTCTTCATGCCCTCCATGTTTCACTGTGGTGTTGGCATTTTTCTGTTGGTTCAGGCTGGGGACACACTGTCCAACGTAGGTGACAGATATTGGCACGTTATTGTAAATCCAGCACAGGTAGTTTCTGGTATTTAATGTTTGTACCATCCCACTGAGGGCAGAGCCCCACACGCTGCCCTGCAGGACAGAGCTGCGGCAGGGCAGCAGAACATGTTAGAGATAAACAGAATAAACAACCTTGAAACCAGCACAGACCAATTATGGCTTCTGCTTTGGCAGCGGGGCTGACAGACAGAGACTTTTTACAATCTCAGAATCATCAATACCACAGATTCCGACAGGTTTCCTTTGGATTTGTAGAGTTTGGTGGAGCTGTGAAAGGAGAGGGCTTTGAGGAGAAAAGGCTTTTTGGGGTTCAGCCCCTGCAATTTGCTCTTCCAGTGGCCACACTCGTGTGTGTCACAACAAAGACAAAAATCTTGCTGTTTCTGGTGGAAATGGAACCCACAATCTCAGGGAAAGGAGTTCCTGGTGCAAATGGGACTTTCTATGAGCCACAGGGACATTTTCCTTCTCCTCATTGTCCTCCTCAGTGTCCTTGTGCTGGGATTGCTTTGCCCTCGCAGGTCACCGCCTGTAAGGAGTGTAAGGGGGAAATCGTAACTCGTGTGTCCCAGCTCCTGGAATCCTCCCGTGCCCGTCCCTCCGGCTCCCCAAGGCCTCAATGCCTATTTTTAATCCTGTAATTTTAACACTCCTCAGCCCTCCAGAACGGGCCAGGAGGGGTGGGACAGGGCTGGATTTCAAACGACACAGGGTTCAGGATACGCTCCTCCTTTATCTCCATTTTGCTTTAACTACTTGTGCTGGCACTTCACAGCAGCTCTGCAAATCGCTTCCCTGGCTGTTGGGGACCCAAATTCGAGCCCAGCTCGCTGCTTATTCAGGCCAGAACGAGCCAGAAGGAGGTCAAAGGCGTCAAACCAAAAAATCAGCAAAGTGCCAGAGGGATAAACCAGCTCCAGGCCAGGCCTCCTGCGTTCCACTGAGCAGCTTCTGCTGGGGCTCGCAGTGCTGATCCTCCCAAACTATGCCAGGAGGAAAGGATGGAAGGCAAGGAGAGCCCCTGGATTTCCAGTCTGGATCCCACAGTGACACCGCATTGCACCGGGGACACGCCGGGAGCCCAGTCCCAGCTCAGGGCTCTGTTTGGACATGAATCGAGCGGTCTGGAGGGGTTGGCTCGGGCCTTTCTGCCTCCTCGTCCTCGTCTCCATCCCTGTCCCCGTCCCCGTCCCCATCCCGCTCCATCCCCAGGGCCCTTCCCGCATCCCCGCTGTGCCCGGGCCTTGTCCCGGTCCCGCCGCGTGGCGCCACAGACTACATTTCCCGTGGTGCCTCGCGGCGGGGCACACAGGGAGGCGGGCACAGCGCCGCTCGCGGTGCACGCCGGGAGTTGTAGTCCTGCGCGGCTGCGGCGCGGACAGCGGGGCGCTGCCGGCAGCCATTACCGGGAGCGCGGAGCCGCCGCCGTCGCCTTGCCTCGCTCCGCGGCCCCGCCGCCGCACGGGGAGGGGCCGCCATGGCGGCGTAGCCTCGCCCCAGCCCGCCCCTTCTTCCCCGCTGCGGGCGCTGAAGGCGCGGCGGCGGTGCGGCCTAGCGCGGAGGGTGGATCCCCGGCCTCGCGTAGCGGCTGCTGCCCGCCAAGGGCCGCCCTCCCCGGGGCCATGTCCCTCGTGGCCTACGCCA